TTCGAAATATCTATATTAAAATAAATTCAGTTCCAAAATGTTACAAGCTGAAAGCAAATATCAGGAGAAAACTTGCACACACCTTGCGAGCACACCCCGTGTTCATCGACGGTACATAGCAGCGTTAAATGTGATGCCCACTCCATTCACAAAATGTTCCGAGCACAGTCGAGAGGATGGCGTAGGGGAAAAGTCTTTTCGATTTAGGGACGCAAGCCACTACTGCCGGAAATCGGGGTCATGTGGAAAGCGATGGAGCTTAAAGGCACTGTAGTCGCACTCGCCTTGCCGGATTTCGTGCAAGCTACACAGGCTCTCGGACAGTATTCGACGCTTTCTGTCGTTATTCGTGCACCGTATAACTGAGCAATGGTGTCTTGATGACCGGGGGACTGTTGCCATCCAAGCCCGTGGCTCTAATTAAGTTTGGGAGTTTAAAACAGAGAACAAAACACGAAGGGCAATGCTTACACCGAATACTGGCAAAGCCTCTCATCTGGGGCTTTCACTGTCTTTAACGCTCCAGCAAGGGGGAAAGCGCCGGTAGCCCTTTCCCCTTTTATCTCTCGCACTCTTTTAGTAAAACAGTTTATACACGGTTCTGCTCTGCTTTAACCCCGTTAAACAAATTTCTTACCAAGCACCGGTGCACTGCGGAAAAGCAACACCAGCGGAAGCAAGCTCCACGGGTGTTGCTTCTCCGCAGTGCACCGGTGCTCCGAAAGAAGTGCGCTCAATGGTGCTGCGAGAACAAAAAGTATGAATTACACGAAAACATTGTTCGAGTTAAGCGGCTTATAAATACATTGAAAACGTAGCGGGTCAACCAAAGTTTTGAAATTCGTTTGACTTAACCAGAAGTATTAAATATCCGAGTTTGAATTATCGCGAGCCTACTGTATATACTAAGGGAGATCTGGCTCAATCCAATATGCTTAACATCACTGAATAGTTGTGCAATTTTAATTGGCTAGTTTTATTTCTCAAGCACTTGATATGTTCGGTATTCAAATCAATGCAAATTTTTACTTTGGTTCAATTTATGGGGGGTTTATTTTATATGTCATGTTTAGTAGGAGCTAGGCTAGTTCGTAAGCATGTTGCTCACTTACTTTAACCATGCATGTCATATACAATTTGTTGCGATTGTGTTTGAATGCAAATCCTCTTCTGCTCTTTATTTCAAGCTGCCCTTACATGCACCATGAAGATACCGAGGAGGTCTTCAATTGAATGACAACTTCAAGCACAAGCATGGAGGGGCATCTAAATGGCCAGCACAAGGACAACTATAATGTAAATTTTCTCCAAAGTTAAAGCAAGGCATGCCTTCTTCCAATAAAGGTATTGTGGCGAAACTTCTTAATTGGTTCGTTTGTTGAGCTGTCATCTATAGGAACAGCTGAGCTCACACAAACAAAATCCTCGCAGTGAGAAGTACCGGTTGTGTGCTCTTCCTCTTTTGCAAAACATGAACTTTTTGGCTGAGGATGAAAGATTATTCAAGTTCATATCTACAATGACGGAGCTATGAACTCTCCATACCAATCTACCCCAAAAGCTTCATGTGACTTAGGCTTGCTTGAATATGGAAGCTTTTTGCACTAAATAATGAAACACTTGACATTTACGTCTTTTTGAACTGGACTCTCCGTAAAAACAAGGCATATAATTTTGTAGAATGGCGAAATTTCTGTAGCCCACATTACGGACAGCTATCCATATGAAATGTGAAAGCTGTCCGCACTAAATACCGAAGGACTATACCTTTCCGAATTATATAAGGCCAAAGCTACGAGTCATCCGCACCAGTCCTGCACCTCTGATAAGTCAGGTGACACCCCTGGCAGATCTAGAGCTCTGCCAGGTGAGTCGCCTGATGTATCGGAGGTGCAGGTGGTACGGATGGCTCGAGGCTTTGGCCTTGTATAATTCGGAAAGGTATAGTCCTTCGGTATTTAGTGCGGACAGCTTTCACATTTCCTACGGATAGCTGTCCGTAATGTGGGCTACAGACGTTCTGTCATTCTACGAAATTATATGCCTTGTTTTTACGGACGGTCCCGTTTCTAGATTACGGCAAACCATACCGGCAATATTGAACCGGCAACTTTTACCCGTAAAATGGAAAACGGATAACTGTCTGTAAAGTGAACTACGGACGTTTCGTCATTTTACGGAATTATATGCCTTGGTTTTACAGACAGTCCCGTTTCTAGATTACGGCAAACCATACCGGCAATATTGAACCGGCAACTTTTGCCCGTAAAATGGGGTGAAAATTTTTTACAGTGTAGCATGGACCACGGTGGCATGGACTAACCGCGAACGCTGTGCTAGCGAGAGCGGGTACGAGCGCTCATGCAGCCGCCGAGGCTTCCTTCGAAGCAACTATCTTGCGCTTTTAGCACGCGCGGCTAACAAGTACAGTCGGGAGCAAAAGTTTGCGGGGCACGGGAGCGCGTGCCGAAATGCATCGCCGCGCCCTCCGACGGCGCGCCGCCGCATTAAGGAGACGCGATTTGCGCATGCGCGCCTTTCGTGTTCGCATTCATGTCTTTTTCGCTCGTTTCTTTCCGACGCACTCCTGATCACAGGAGTCGGCGGCCAGGCGCTCCGTCACCCAACGCGGCTGCTGTGGCGGCTGAAGAGGACGCCAGCGAAACGGCAGCTTGCGCCCCTGGCGCCGACTCCGGTTATCAGGAGTGAGTCGGACGGAAACGAGCGAAAGAGACATGACTAGGGGTGTCGCGAACCGGCCGCGGTTCGAGTTCGACCAGGTTCGACTTTTTCGACCTTTTAGTGGAAAGTTCGACGAACCTTGTATTGAGGTTCGACTCGTGTGCGCATGCGCGACAGGCTGGCCAGTTGGCTTCGGATTGGATGGTAATGGCTAAAAGATGAAATAAGTGCAGCGCTGATTGTCTATTTTAGTCAATACAGTACTAAACATTAAGTTATTAACTTACTCAGTGATTAGAATTAGTTTCTTTTAATTGCAGCTGTTCAGAAAATAAAATAACCCCTTGCATAAAAAAAAATTCTCCAAACCTAGACATGCTTGTATTAAAGGGATACTACAACGAAATTTCGGCCCAGGGATCCTGGGTTCAATCCCCACCCCTGCCCGTTTCGATCTGGATGAGCATCGTACCGGCGTGCGGTCGTGTATCACTACTGCGTGGTGCACGTTAAAGACCCCAGGCTAGCGGTTGTACTGCACTGGCTAAATTGCTCATCTACAGCTGGGAGACTCGTCGCCCCTGTGAGGCAGACCAAGTTCTAGGCTGTATAAACATACCACACAACCCAAAAAAAAAAAAAATTTCGGCGCTCATTTTTTGGTCTATATGTGTTCAAAAGAGCAGTATCACATGGAACATACCAATATCTTGTTAAAAAAGTCTCGAAAAGGAATTTTAAAACGAATTAAACGATCAGCTAAGAGCACCTGGTGGATGTCGCTAACGCATCGTTTGTAATGCTCGTCTAGGAACCTTGACAGCTAGTGACGGAGGTTGTCTCGTCTCCGGCCACGACGAGAGAAGGGGGGAAGGAGGAACTCCCCTCTTCCCGAGAATCCCTTTTGTGTGTCGCAGAAGTCGCTGTTGTCCCCCTAGAAGATTATAGAAGATTAACCCGTCACTCAAAATTCGTACAAAAGCAGCCGCTTCGGTGGCTGGAACGACTAGGCCATCCTCTCAACGTCAGCCTCGCCGTAGCTTTGCTCGTCTTGAGACGACCTACGTCACGATTGCGTTGGATGTCACGTGCTCTAAGCTGGGCCTTCTCCGAGCGCTTGCCAGAGTGGACCGTTTCTAACGAAAAATACAGCCACCAGGCTCAAAATACAAACGTGCGATTGTCATTTACGGATATTGTGGATCATATTCAACCCTTTTTTTGAACACGACGGGAATATTTCAAATTTCGTTGAAATATCCCTTTAAGGTCTGGCCACACTGTCCATAAAGTCGAACCGGTCGAATCTGGTGAAAAGTTCGAAGGTTCGTCGAACCGGTTCGACTCAGTCGAACCCCGGAAGTTCGACCAAAAAATCTGGTTCGACAAAAGTTCGCGACACCCCTAGACATGACTGCCAGCACGAAGGGCGCGCATGCGCAAAGCGCGGCTTTTTAATGCGGCGGCGCGCCGTTGCACGGCGCGGCGATGCATTTCGGCACGCGCTCCGGTGCCCCGCAAACTTTTGCTCCCGTCTGTACGTGCTAACGTGAAACGAAGTATAGAGTTCCTCGATATGCTCGCCCGAAAAGAACTCTATCTCTCACCGATAAGGAGCGCCACGGCTGGCGCTGCGGGGTAAAGTAGAACGGTAGAACTATCGCTCTCACCGGCGGAGTCAGGCATACGGCAGGCCGCTCCCAAGGGGAATCCTAATCGAGTGGCCGTGGCTCTAGCCATGCCCGCTTTCGCATGTTTCCAATTTCGGCCGCATGGTGGCACGGTGGCGACACAGTTCGAGCCTCACTTTCTTTGCAGTGCCGGAGTGATTTCACATTTCAAAAAATTGGGTTGTGTGTGTGTTTATACAGCCTAGAAGTTGGTCTGCCTCACAGGGGCGACGAGTCTCCCAGCTGTAGATGAGAAATTTAGCCAGTGCGGTACAACCGCTAGACGCCGGTACGATGCTCATCCAGATAAAAGGGGCTTTACATCCAGATCGAAACGGGCAGGGGTGGGGCTCGAGCCCAATATCCCTGGGTTCTGCAGCGCGAGCTTTCGCTCCACGTGCTCCGAGCTGGTGTGCGCTAGAACACTCGGCCACCGATCCCCCCATTCACATTTCAATATTCTAAGCTTAAAGAACAAAATGGCTAGGTGGCGTAAGCTACCGCCCGATCCAAAGGGCTCAGCTGGATTCATCCATCTATCTATCAATCTCGAAAAAAAAAAAGTGAAATTTGCACTGATCTCTATGACAATTGACATAGAGATCAGTGGAAATTTATTTTAACTTTTTTATCTTTTGCTTTGGTACAGTTACTCTGCACTGCAGACGCGAGCACGAGCAATGCGTGTAACTTCTCTCGTAGCATACTCGTGCAATTTAGCGCCCGTTGCAGTACCCACGAGAATGCTGGGAATGTAGCGCACGTGCTGGCGTAAGACCTAAAACAAAAGGCATCTTGTACAAGCTCGCCTCATTATAATTTTTTTTTTCTTTGAATACGAGGAATGTTAGCGCGTGCGGCGTGTAGACCTACATTCCCAGCATTCTCTTTGATGCCTTGTCGTCGCGAGTCTGCCTTCCGAGTGCCTGCGAAGCTGTTCCAGCATATCGTACGCAGCATCGTAACCACAGATCGCAGCCAACCGGCCAAGCTTGCCAATCGTCGCGACTTGAAGGCCCTCATCTCGCGCAGCGCCCGTTGCAAGTGCAGGTATGTGTTGTGTCACACAGGCGGAAACCATGCAACTGGGGCTGTGTTCCAAATCTTACCCAAATGAACCCGAGTTACTCCGGCGGGTCGTGTCACGTGACAACACAGATTGAAGAACGCTGGACGCGGGTAGGTTTTGGAACGCCAAGGTACCTTGAAGTAAGATCGAGTAAATTTTTGAACATGGCCTGATAGTTCCTCCAGGCCGGCGCAGCCGTAGCCTTGGCTATTAGCCTCGAGTAGGCCTCGAGAAGTTCGCGTGGCGCCCCCTTACGGCGAACCGGGGTGACGTCACGGCGAGGAGAGAATTTTTCCCCGACTCGCCCCGCTCGCCCTGTGGGGGCCGTGACGACGCTAGCTGTCGGCGCGCTCGTTTCTAGTTTTTTTTTTTTTTTTTTTTTTTTTGCATGTTTTTTGTAGGAAGTGTAAATTTTTATATGTGCCTTTATTGAGGTATGGCCTGTAGCTACAGGCGAAACTTCAACCAACATTCGGGATTTGTAACCCAATTTTAAAGGTAAAAGGGACAAGCAGGCTTATAAAATGTACGGAAGCACGTCAATATCGGCCTAACTCAACGTCTTGTACACCGGGTAAATGAAGTCCAGCTCCTCGAAGAGCTTGCGGCACACAACGCCAAACCAGGAAACCGGTGCTGGGAAGCGAGCCGATGCGAGATCGCGGAGCGGAGTCCTCCCCCTGACGTCACGGTACACCTCACCCAATCAGGGCGCAGCGACCGCAGCGACGCTTGTGTTCGCTCTCGGGGCTAATAGACCTGAAACGAAGCGATTTACAGCGCGCGTCCCTGGTTTTGAGAGTGCACGTCTGTGTTGCCCGACTGCGCTGAGCTGTGGAGTTTCTCGTCAGTGGGCTGTGGCAGCCTGCAAAGGCGCAATTCTGGGCGCTGGTGGCGGCTGAATTGCCGCGTTTTCTTTCTTTTTTTTTTTTGTTCTGTGGCGAACATAATTTATAGAGGTCTTTAAGAAAGCAGTGCTGTATTTTTGGGAACAAAAACAAATATTTTAAAGCTGTTTTGGTGAGTCCATGCGCGACAGAACAAATGCAACTGGAATGTTTGTTTCATTTTATGTTCCTCGTTTTACGGCACCATACACTCAGCCGTGTCAATCAATGGAGGTAAAAATATTCGCCCACACAGGATATCCGAACTGCATAGATATTCCCCACCCACAACATGAAATTCAATGAGTCTCATCAATCAAACAACATATATTGTACGTACCCCACGGTGCCGCGTTATCCGGACAGGATTTGAGAAAGGTTTCAAATAAAACAGCATATCCAATATACAGTGTCGACGATAGTCACTTCACGACGATTGGACGGAATCCGGCGTGTTTTGGGAAACATGTAAAAGAGAGCTCCTTTTTTTTTTTTTTTTTTTTTCACAGCTTTAAAGCAAATGAACGAACGTGTCTATTCCGTCCCCACACCCCGGACCCAACCCTATCAGCTATTTTACGCGAAAACCCGGAACACAGCCGGGAAGGCTTTTTTGAGATTATCTCAACAGAAATAATCCTCCAAGAACGTCGAACTGCCTGCGTCGCGGGCTGCTTGACGTTCGCTCTCTTCATTCGTTTCCTGCGAAGGCCGAGCAGGCTACGAGCCCTGGTATTCACTGCTTCTCACAGTGGAAGATAACATACAAAGGTAAGCATCCTAAGCAGGCGAATAAAGTAAAAACTTCCAAGAAAAGCCGGCGAACTCCAAATATGCAAAATGCAGGTGGGGAGTCACGCTGCCTGGGTTTCCACGGCTCAGGCGGGTGCCAGAAATTTCTGGCTGATAGGGGTCGCTCGATTCGCAAAATGGCAGCGGCCAGAGCGCTCTTTTTGCAAAGGTCTACGCTAGGGGTGTCGCAAACTTTTGTTGAACCGGATTTTTAGGTCGAACTTTCGGGGTTCGACTGGGTCGAACCGGTTCGACGAACCTTCAAACTTTTCACCAGATTCGACCGGTTCGACTTTGCGGACAGTGTGGCCAGACCTTGATACACGCATGTCTAGGTTTGGAGCAAAGAGTTATTTTATTTTATGAACAGTTGCAATTAAAAGAAACCAAGTTTAGTCACTGAAGACGTTAATAACTTAATTGTTTTGTACTGTATTAACTGAAATAACCAATCAGCGGTGCCCTTAATTCATCCCTTAGCCATTACCATCGAATCCGAAGCCAACTGTCCAGCCTGTCGCGCATGCACACACGAGTCGAACCTCAATACAAGGTTCGTCGAAATTTCTGCAAAAGGTTCGAAAAAGTCGAACCTGGTCAAACTCGAACCTCGGCCGGTTCGCGACACCCCTAGTCTACGCACTCCGAGCACCCGAGCGAGCGGAGAAGCGAGAAAGGAGTGACCGATGAGCGAAGAAAAAAAGAGAAAAGTAGGATGACGTCACGGTGACGTCAAATATGGGCCGTGTTCCAAAATTTACTCTATGTTACTCCAGGGTAAAGGTTTTGTGCCCTTGGCGTTCCAAAACCTACCTGCGTCCAGTGTTTTTGAATGTGTGCTGTCACGTGATACGATCCTCCGGAGTAACTCGGATCCATTTGGGTAAGATTTCGAACACAGCCACGTTGACCACCCCCGGGTTTACTACGGCTGATCGAATGCCATTTCATTGAAGCACGTTTTATCAAAGCACGGTTCAGAGAAAGCAGAGCCTCAGTTTAGAGGAAGTCCGTTTATCAAAAAGGGGACGCTTTTTAAAAAAAGGCTTTCCTACTTCTCGCCTGTTTCACTGGTGTGCGTGTTAAGCCAAGCCCCCCGCTGCGCTCCCGCCGCTTCGCGGCGGCAGTCTGCGGCGGCTCATTACAAAAATGTTAACTCACCTGATTTACCCGTACACGCCGCTTCGCGGCGGCCAAATTCGCTAAAAGAAGGCTCATCGCCATTTTCTTTAAACTGGGTTCTCTATAAAGGCATTTGATAAACCGGGGTCGGTAAAACGGCGTTCGCTGAAACGAGCTTCTCTAAACCGCATGCCTCCGATCACCCCCTCCGACAACTAGGACGGGTACCGCCGTTAACATCCATGTTCCCTCGGGGCCAAGGAGGATAGAACCGATAGAACCTCCTTGCTCAGGGCACTCTTTCTGTGCTCAAGCGTAGGGTTCTTGTTTCCGCCGCCTCAAAACATGGCGTTACAATCGCCGCCTCTACTGCTGCCGGGCCAGACCTACTTGCCCCTAGACGGCGCAGGTTGTCCTGTCGCGTCCTAGGCGGCCGGTTCAGTGCCGCTCGTACCCCGCCCCCCCCCCCCCCCCCCCCTTAATTTGCTTGCCTGATTTCATTTCTCCTCGATTTCATTCTCGTCTTCTGGGGCTTTTATTTTATATATTTTTTCATAAACCACTGTAGCGCAACTTCAGAGAAGCTGCTCCTCAAGTGGGTAGAAGGCAAGGAGCACACATTTACTTTTCATACATTCTTTATTATTTACACAGTTTTCATACATGAAATGGAAGATATATACAGAGATAAAAAAATTTACGGAAGAATAGAACAGGTGGCACGAGAAGCACTTAAGAGCACACTGAAAGAAATATACATTTATAAAAGATATCGCACTACAGTTTTGACCAGCAGAAACTTCAATGTTTTGTAGACAAAAATTGTGAATTTTTTGTTACTCAGCTGATAGATGACTTGTTTTACGGTTTTCGCGCTTTCCTATCAGCTGCAGACCTTTTCAAACGAGGTTTTTGCAGATCTCTTCTTTTAAAAGGCTTAAATTTACCAAGGTTCATAGCAGAAAATCTGGAGGAAATTCTAGCCGATTGCTGGGCAGAGAAGGTCTTCGACTGTTCTGTCAAAGCACTAAGATTCTTCATCACATTATCCTTGTATACCAGACTGAGAATGCACTCCAGAAAGCACTCAAGCTTGCCCACAAAAGTAACGCAAGGCTCTGTGGCCAAAAAGAGAACACCAAAAATGCCTGTGTCGTCCTGTGCGCTTAGCACGTGGTACGGCTCGATCTGCCTGCGAATTTTAGGTGCAACGTCGCTCATACGTGCGAAAAAACGAAACAAACGTGTGTTAAGTGCTGTGTTCATGGGGTTTCTGCCGCACGAGACTGAAAATCGCAACCAGGATCGCACAACATGAAATGGGCTTGCAACGAAAGCGACAAAAAACAAAACTTTACCTCTCACTTTGGGATTAGAAAGAACGACAACACTTTCGACTTGCTGAAGTTCCCGCACCATTTCGCAGCGCAGCAGCGCCAAGGTATCCTCTTCCGAGAGCACCAGAACTTTAGAAGTCAAATTAGCGCGGACCGAGCGAACACCACGTTTTCCGCAGAACACTCGGAGCAGATGATCACGCTCATCGGATGTCGGCAACCATTGCACCGGTTGCGCCGTTGCTATGGCCACCGGCCCGGCGGCAATGTCGATTGTAACGCCATATTTTGAGGCGATGGAAACAAGAACCCTACGCTTGAGCGCAAAAAGCGCACCCCAGAGTAACACGGATGTTAACGGCTGTACCCGTCCTAGTGGCCGGAGTGGGTGATCAACATATTTGACGTCATCCTGACTCTTGGCGGCCTCTACCGAGATTTCCTTGAATGCCGCTGGCTGCGTGAGCCTGGTTCCTCTTTTGTGTGTGATCAAAGGCGTCGCTGTGGTCGGCCTGCCACGATTGGCCGAATGCTGACTATGACGTCAGCCATAGATTTCTCATCGACGGAAATAAGAGGAATGTAAGAACTTGAATTTTGACAGTGTTGTCAGTGTTCCTTTGAGACAGCAATGATTTCAAGCCTCCACCGTGCTAATTATAAACACCATCGAACTTGTTGCTCGCAATGTGATGACGTGGCGAGAGGAAACCATGGGGGGGCGCCACCAAAACATCCCGCCGCTAAATAGAGAGGACTTCTTTTTTTTAGGTTACCTTCTGCAGCAGTATGACAGGTGGCACTACCTGCTGTGTGCCAGGCTGTCACAACAACACTAGCCGCAGTAGGCATGTGTCCTGGCACCGCTTTCCCAAGAACAATCAGCTGCGAAACGTTTGGGTCAAGAGAATCGACAGAAAAGGTATTTACTATATTTTGAATTTATTGTAACCTATGGTCGGGGATCGAGACACGGTGTTTCTATTGAGGCACGGTGTTTCTGCTATTCAATGATACCAATGTTATACTGGTACGTCATAAAGTTGATGAACAAGATGGGTGCCGGACATTTCATTGAATGCCATTTCATCGAACACCGTTTCATCGAATAAGTGGACATTTTATCGAATGCCGTTTCATCGTATCACTTGACGCCATTTCCTCGAATTTCCCTTCACTGAATTTTGGAGTAATAAATACTTTTACATAATTTACTATCGCTTTTGAGATAGTTTTGACGTCGCTCTAAGTTCACCAGAAATAGAATTACTACCCCGTCAATTTTTCATCCACCTAAACGTTGGCTACTGAATCATAGAAGGTAGCTATCATATTAAAACTTGAGTTGATATGCGACTTATCCTTCTCTGGCGAGGTAGGCGGCTGTTCTTGGCTACACACTTTTTCCCACTTCATCCCTCTATTTCTCCCCCTTGAAAGGCACCTTCTTAAAACAGCTCATCTCTGCAGCGCCATTTTTTATTTTGTATTTGCTGATTTACCTGTATTTTCATTTTATCCTAGGAGAAGAACTTATTTTTTTTTAGAGGATATATGTTCTTAAAAAATATCCGTCTTCCCTCTTCAATAATTTATTGTAACCGACAGAACCATGGACCTGTCGGATCATTGACATGCAGTATATATACTGTAATGCATCTGTCTCCGTGTCCCATATTATGGGACACTGAGACAGATCGCTGCTTCAAGGATGGCTTCGTCTTGAAGCAGAATGGGTCTCTTCAAGGATGAAGATAAACCTATACGCCCTTGAACGGACGTGTGTTCATCACTGCACCTGATGATCACAGCTTTAGAAAGTGTCGGCAGTCTTCCGTTTCTTATTGGCCACATTAACGGAGGTAATAATTTTACTGAAGGTGTCTTCCTTTTATATATGTATAAGTTTATAAATTATAATAAATATTAAAACACTAGCTGCTATTCCCTTGGCGTTAAAAATATTTCCTAGATGTAGAATTCTTATTGCTCAAGTAAGCGGCGTTCGATGAAATGGCGTTCGATAAAACCGCGTTCAATGAAACGGATTCGATGAAACGACGTTCGATAAAATGGCCGAACCCAGAAAAAAAATATGGTTGAAAGCAGGACTCCAAAACCAAACATCAATTGAATAAAATAAAAAAACAACTTTGTTTAGTATTTTTGAAGTTCCGTGTTCTCTTCTCTTGTGGACTGCCATGTTGGTGCACCGTCAGTTTGTGCATTGTGGCACATTGGGGCTCCATTTATCTGAGACGTTCGGTGTTCTTTTATCAAAGGCTCCCCTCTGCAGACGATAAAAAATGTTATTAGCTTTGCGACTAATATGCATGCCTTCATTCTAAGGTACTTTTTCATAGTTGTGTTTTAAGTTTACGAAGAGAGGCATGGCGTAATGCTAATGCTTCTCTTGTGTGCAGGCACCACTGGAAAGCAGTCATTATGGACGCCGACTCCTAACAGCAGAATATGCGGTGCCCACTTCAGCGAAACTGGACGAAAAAAGTACATGGACAAAGCCCCCCGGTTTTTCGGAACCAGGACACTTCCTAAGTGTATGTAATTGCTCTGTTTTTGCTTGCAAGAGTTGTTATTCCTCCCTACTTTCATTCTTGTTTACTGACCATTTTATTTGGGGCGAGATGTTTAAGTGGCGCCACCTCGCGGGCGCCTTCCTGTGACAGAGCCGGTAGGATGCGAGCAGACTATGCGCTATGTCAAAGCACGGAGTGGCTACATGCATATCTATGCTGATTAAAAGCAGTTTATTTATGAAAGAAACATGTATGACGTTTCTTGAGTAATCTAAGGAATAACAGTGCCTCCAAATTGCTTTTTATATAAAAAAAAAAAAATTAAAATGTTCAGAAACAAGTTTGGAGCTTATCATTACAGCTTGCACGGCGTGCGTCGGCTATTCACAGCCTCTCTGGTTCCTGTTTTTTTTAGATCTCTGGAGGCTGCTGTAGAAAAAGGTTTTGCATTCACCAGAGTAAATGACGTGCTGTCTTCTTAGCTGTGCATGTGCACACAATTGTGTTGCAAAGCGCTGCACACTTGTTTTAGCTATTGACCTTGCTGATACCATTCTTCTATCGAAGTGTAACTCACACTTGCTGACGAGCCTTTGCTCGTCAGCAAGTGACACTTAGCTCCTCCCGCATCGAGTATGTGGCAAAGAAGATTTTTTCACATCGCGACTTTTCCTCAAAAGGAAAGAGGAAATTTTCATCAATTCTTAAATTGTCGGACATGGCCCAGCAAATTCGGGCAATTGATTAATTTGTTCTATCCAATTTTTACTAAGCATTGTTTACAAATTTAAAATCGCTCGCTGAGAAGCGCAAATAATTATGCAAACGGTAGTAATCATAGCAGTGTGTATACCTAATTTTTTTGGTTCTTGCACATCTTTTTAAAAACTGGAGACGACTGAGAAAGAAGGAGACAGACACAAAACATCTCGAATGCAGCTCCTAAAATTTACTGACACAACTGTTTTTTATCGTCTCTCACACACACCTCTCCCGGAACTTGCACACGTCTTCGTGACCTTCCCTCATAAAGACGTGTGCAAGTTTCGGGCGAGGTGTGTGAGAGATGATATATAAACGGTTGTGTCAATAAATTTTAGTAGCTGCGTTTGAGACATTTTGTGTTTGTTCCCTTCGTCCGTCGTCTCCAGTTTTTCAAAAATGTGTAACATCAACCAGCTCGCCTATTTACTTACTCTTTCTTCAATCACCGACTTACTAGATTTAAGACTTTGATTGCGAGGGGGTCTTACACGTTTCACGTCGACCAGATGAATAAGCAGGCATTCAATTGAAACTGCTGTTTCCATTGAATTGAAAGTGTTTGTTTGCTGGTTTACGAAATTGAGAAAGTGATCAACTTGGAACCAATAAGGGACCAGCACTCACAAAACCCATTGGAACCAACAGAAGACACAGAGCTGCTTTCACTGATGTGTTTACTACACACACAAAAGGTTCTCAAATTTCGATTTTCTATTTTCAGTTTGATAAGGCATTTCTTCCTCAGGCTAATTTTGTTTGAATCATAACAAAAAAATACACCCTATTTGCCGTGGTAGATGAAGTAGGGTAAAGCGCTGGATATTCTATTTTCATCATCCAGTTTCTTGTACTGAGGTAGAGAACAGCACACCATCATCCAAGCACTTTTGCACCTCAGTACCAAAAGTGTTTGATAATCATGACTACACGTGCCATGGTTTCAGGCTTTGGTAAAATCTCCTACTAATATCACTTCATCAAATAAACGCAACACATGAAACAGGCTTTGCCGAGCATTACCAAAACAGTTGATGAAGCGAGCTGGCGAGCCGAAAGATCCAAGTTCTGCACGGTTTGTCCCAGTCCGTCCTACCCATGACGCCATAAACAATGATGATGATGGCCAGAGAAGCACCCCTTGGAGTTTGCGCATGCTGCTATATATGCAACAATTGATCCTGTAAGTGATGACATCACAACATGGCGCTCCGCTCCGAACAAACCGTTGCATAGGGACTTGACGTGAGGTCAGAAATTGTTCGATAAAAAGTAAATAATCTTTTGTAAGCGCTGCGACTTCTCAATGCCTGATTATGAAAACTTTCTATCGTTTCAGTACCATAAAGCGATGACAAAAGCCCGTAATAAAGTTTCACGATCGGTTTTTCCTCGCTAGCAGACGACACAATGCCTTCGCGGGTTCAGTGGTTCTTTGAGTATGCAACTGCGTTGAATGAACTTGGTGACGATCGACGAAACTTCTATTCTCGGGGTCAACTTTCTGTGGGATTTCGGAAGCGAAAAGAGCCCGTGCACAGCCTTGATCAGTGCTCGAGGTGCAATCGCGTGCAAACGCCTCTCCGTGGAGCTTGCTTCCGCAGTATTTGAGAAGGTGGAAAACATTGGGCTTGTTCGACTTACCTGCATCTCCTGCACCGGTGCAGAAAAGTGTAAGGCCATGTACTTCCCATATCTGTATTGAGATGCGACCGGAAGTATGCCGCCATACCCTTTTCTGCACCGGTGAGGAGGTGCAGGTAAATTAAACGACTACCGTGTAGCCGAATCATGTACGACGACTTGAAGCGTGTCAAGGTTGAAGTGCAGGCCAGCACACGTTTCAAAAATTTCTGATAGCACAGTTGCTTCAGTGCACATCTCTGTGATCAGACGAACTGTCCGTAACAGATATATAATGTTGCAGATGGAAACGGATAGACAAGCGTGAAACAGAAATTTAAAAAAAATTACCGCATCTCCACGTGGTGAATGATGTTGATTGGGGCGAAGCTCTGGTGGTGCTTGTCTGCGTAGATGCTGAGCCGCAGCATGCCGAGCCTTTCGTTCGTTTTCATCCATGTCACGGTACGGTCAAATGCTCAAATGCACATATAGCCACGTTCCATACCACACATTCTCTTTCTGACATGGATGAAAACGAACGAAAGGCTCGGCATGCTGCGGCTCAGTGTCTACGCAGACAAGCACCACCAGAGCTTCGCCCCAATCAACATCATTCACCACGTGGAAATGCGGTTGTTTTCTTTCTCCCCTACACAAGCACGGGAGCACGTGCTCACATGCTCGTGAGCGCGTGAGCTCACGAGCAGGAGCACATGCACCCGACGGCGGACGGACATACGGACATGGCTAGCCCCTAAGGAGCTTCTCCCCTAAAATTTAATCGGCGAACTTGCACCTAGAAACAAATGGAAAGATGAGTGTCGACGGCGGCAGCAGCAGCTAGGGACGATGCATTGGCATGACACCTGGTTGCGAGTCGACAAAGCTGCGCTCGGCTCCTTGTTTACTTCACTGGGCATCTCGAGCCTTCAATCTAGAATCTACGTTGGTGAGCTAGGGAGAGACTGACTAGGCGAGGTCACTCTGGCCTCTTTATCTTTTACACTTGGGGTAAGAGTAAGCTCCAATCTTCTAGAGGCATGGAGAAGCATTCCTTCTCAGTCGTGCAACTAAAGAATCGGTAGGAATTTCTCTCAGTTTGGTGATTACAAGCTAGGTACAAAAACAAAGTTTGGTGTCTCGAACCCCTCAAAGCAAAGTCAAAATAATTGTTCTTTCATTACAATGCACATAAACTGCAAAATCAGAAAGAGGGCCTGACGCTGCTTTGATATCATGTTCTAAACAGATGCTTTTCTCGCTGTATTTCTGGCAGATCTCTATGCGTGTGATGATTTTCGTCAGACAGTATCCCGTATCGCTCCCAAACACAATTTGTTTTTATAAGCGTCCTGCAATGTTCCAAATAAATACAGAATCAAAAGTCTGAGGACTCTTAAAGGGGCCCTGCAATCATATTTAAGCATCTACCTTTTTTGCGGCAAGCCAGCAGGCACGGAGAGAGTAACTAAATATCAGTGCATCATATTTTAACCGGAAACTTGCTCCACCTACGAGGGCGACCCGCATTGCCGAAAGCGCGCGATATGCAACATTGGTCCTGGGCTTACTACTGGTCAGAGCCGCTAAAAGCTTCTTTTTAGCCTAAATACAAAATATAAGTGTCGCAAACCATTTCAATTATTTATAAAAGTAGTTTTTGTTCAGTATTTTAGATCAGAAAAGTAAAGCCTGGTCCTGGCAAAAGGGGCCACACGCAAGAATGGGTATTCTAAAATTATGTGTCCTCTGTATGCAAACGTGCTAGTCACATTTGCATACACTTGGAGGAGGGGCTATGACCAAGGCAGCTGAACTGGATAATAAACGAGATGAGACGCTAATTTAGAGGCTCAAACAATATCGCTGCATGCGTGGCGGAGTGGGCAGCACGTGCAGCTGCCACGTGGAGGAACGAGTTTCGAATCTTACTCGGTTGGTCCTTGTTTTCTTTTTGAGCGTTGTCCTTGTAGAAAGTTTCAGCGTGTTCTCTGCTGCTGTCGTATGTTCTAGATGGGAACATTCCTAAATGTACCGCACGTATAAAAGCTGCAGTAACATGCTGTTTTGGGACGGTAAGTCGTATGTTGGGCCGTGCAGAATGTATCTCTGTCCCTTTTGTCTGATGCTAAGCACCAGTTTGCCTCATAAAACATTTAATATATTCAGTTCTCCATTCATCGGACAGTTTCTACCTTTGGGAATATGGTGTCACATTTGACATACGGAACTTGTGTACCAACACTTTATTTTGGTCATTTACTTCAAATCTTTTACACGGACGAGGCAAGTGCACCTTTGGTTCTAGCCAGTGGCATAGCTGGGAAAGAAGTGCGAGCATTCTCCTTGATGCCGGGCAGGGGGCTCCCCCCTGAAAGTTTTGAGATGTGGGCGTCTGACAATTTCCAGGGTGACTTTTGGTGTTCACGATTCTCTCGTAACTGCACAGCAGTGATTTTGTTTGCGGGTATTATGCAGTTCCGTTGCATTGTGGCACACAGGTCTGTCAAAAACGACAATCCGGGGCATCGTGCGCTTTCAAAATGAGTGTCGTCTTGTTCAGCGGAGGCAAAATATGGAGGTGGGCCGGACATAGTAGACGTAGGCAGCCATCCAGATCAATGGGTGGCAAGGCCTCTGCCACCCACTGTGGGTAGAACCCTACGTGCCAGTGTTATTCGACGAAAGGACTATTGCTCCTACTGGAAACGTCGTAGTGTTTAGCCGATTGTGGATGGTCGACCGCAACAGCACTTTTAGTCGTGCACTTTGCCAAACTAGCTTGTGCCTGCATAGTGCTACACTCCGTTTCACTTGAAACGTGCGAGCGTAACAGAACGTAGAGTGAGATGGGGGCTTTCAGCATCCCTGCCAATTGTGGGCAGTTGTGCGACAGAGCGCTGTTGGGCTCAATATGGTCGTGCTTATAGCTTTGGCTCTGCCGCCACACGGAGCGGGACAAACCCTTTCTAGCTTTTCCCACTGTTGTGTGTTATTTACTAAGTTGCATCTTTGTATGCAGACGTTGCAGCACACCCAAGTGCATCTTACACAGGGCAGCACCACATGCAACTACCACAGCTATTGGAGCTGCAGGTGTGCTCTCTTTCAAATCTCGACCTTGGACAGACAATGACCCGCCCCGCTACCCAGGAGCCTGTACAGCCTGGCTGCCCTTTGATCGACGATGGTGCCCCCGACGCCGGGGACGTCGCGTCTAATGGTGAGCTCACAATCCCGAGATAAGCAGTAGTGAATAATTATCTGAGAAAGCCGAAAAAAGCCCCCAACCTGAGCTGCCCTTAGAAGACATCTCTGTCTGCATCTTCAACTTCTGTTGGCCCAAAACAAAGTTCTTCCCAACTGAACCGTATGCAAACATGATGCTTTCTTCAGAAATTGCATCCATTGTCCCATTTTCTTCCCTTTTTTCTGGTGTTTAGGTCGCAGACACGTCTTCTCAACGTTGAGGAATCCCGTGTTTGTGTCCCGTTTTCTTCAACATAAGCACCAGCAAATGCTGAGTTTTTGTTTGACTACAGCAACTGGCAGCAAAAACACTGAATCCGCGTGGGGGAAAAAAATTATGCATGCTCGATCATTTTGACAAAGACCGGGGAGCACAGTATGTATTGAGCACAAAGTACCACCTCACATTGTCATCTTGCGTCTCAAGGCCACATGATGTCACATGACTTGATAATGTGACGTGGCCATGTGAGCCAATTTCTCTGCTTAACTTGGCGTTTAAATTGATGCAGTGCTTCTTTCGTGACGTTTATGTGTGGCAGTTCTCGGTAATGATGGGCCATACTTTTTCCGAATCGAATGTTTGCCGAATTTTTCTAAAGATTCTGTAAAGACTCTGCCAAAATACATTATTGCCAGACCTAAAAGTTGATATACCGTTTATTCGTGCAAAAAAGATTTTAGGTGTTTTTTTTGTAATGCATATTGACACAATTAATTATTAACTAGATATTCTACAAGATAATTGTATCGGCGTCATTTTTGTGTGTTTACTGGTAATTTTAAAGTGACGTTTTGCAGAAATGGTGTGACAATGGGGTTGGGTTGTAGCAATAAGCGCAGTCAGGATACTCGAGTTTCAGTTTTTATGCTTCATTAGTGCAAGCTTGCAAGTGTGTATTGTTGAAAAAAAGGCAGTAAAACTGTGTTCTATATTCCTCTGCGAGTAACCGTTTCGTGCGCAAAAATGAATGCAACAACTGTTGAGCCTTCCCAAGAAGAGATAACAATATTCTGTGTGTAGTTTTATGCAGATAGATGAAAACCGCGAAATAGCGCTAATTAAAAAGCAATATTATATTGTTTTGGCACAAACTACTTGTGAGCCAAAAACAGGATTGCTTTGATGTCAACGAGAGCTTTAAAGCACCTGTCAGTCAATGTTGCAACTATCTCGTTTCATCACTGGAAAGATCAAATAAAAATCACGTTATCCTAAATGTACCAGATCATTTGCCACTTGTGCAGCGAATTGTGTCATTTTTGCATTCATTTCTGATCGATCTTCTGTTCTTGAGGCTGAAAATATTGAAGAGAACCACACTCACAAAGGCCGACAAACACACAGTAACCATGTCGCCTGCTCTGTATCTCGCCGTGACCACATGGTACTGCACTGTACGACAGTAATCGCACGACCACGCGGCTTCCATTTGCAATTCATGGCCCCGTCGCGTTCTTTCGCATGCACAGACATTTGCCCAATCTTTGCCGAACTTCCCTTCAAAAGTTCCGCATCTGCCGAACTTTGCGGAATCTGAAGTTCGGCAGATTCGGTCCATCACTAGTTCTCGGCAACGATTCTCCGATAGAATTCGGTCAATAAGACATGAATTGCCTTAGCCATCCATCGATGCATTTAATCGGCGCAAGTAGCACAGTGCACTCTGTCTTCAACATTGCTCTGACTGTGTGCGTCATCACCGAGGGGCACTACGCACCGAGGAGCGCTGCGGAGGGGCTGGGCAAGTGGCAAAACTTAGAGACACAGACGGTCATCACCTTTTCTTCCTCCCCGCAGCTTGATTGCAGAGTGACCCATAAGCCACGTGACTTCGATATAGCACTTGATAACTGTGTTCCGTTCTGTTGTGCCTCGCTCCCAGAGTTATGGCGCCAGAGTTGCCACGGCAACAGAAACGGCGGCACTGCAATTTCATCTGGCTTGACTCTGCATTACATCCTGCGTTACTGCCACCTTTGCCATGATAGAGGGTGAAAGGGGCAAATTTTTTTTTTTTACATAAATGGTTGTTTGTTTATTCTATTTAACAGGTGATTCGAATTTAAAAACGGGGTAACCAGATATTCGATTTACCACGGTTAGGCTACTAAATTCGGTTGCAAAACGCTCGCGAAAAGCTCGGCATTTTACTCTAAGAGTAGGGGGTTTCGACAAAGATTAACTTGAGCAAAAATGTCTAGAAGTTTGTGTTTTTTTGGCATGGAACAGTTTTGTCTTTTTGGCATGTTTATCTGTTTTTTAGTTTTAACCAATTCTCTATTTTTGACACCCGACACATGTTCCTCAACGTTTTTAGGTTTTAACCGATTTTGTATTTGTGACGCTGGCGGATGGTTATCTGTGTTTCTTGGTTAAGACCGGAAAGTCTACGGCTTAATTCTGAACTGCAGTCGAGATCGTTTGCTTGAAAGGAATATTTGCTTGTGTAGCCTTCTGCCCAGGGGCTTCACCTTTGTCACCCTCATGTCTTACAAATCAAGGCCGATCTTCAGATGGAATTTCTAGCCGCATGTTCGGGGGCTCAATCCTTGTTTCTGGTGAGAGTGGGCGAGAGAGAGCTTTATCGACTTCTAATTCCACAAGATGTCATAGCGTCTTGCAAGATAAACGTTATTGGCATATAAAAGAATATATATATATTTTTGGGGAAGCTGAAGTTTGAGGTTTTCTCACCAAAATAATGCTTCAATCAATCAATCAATCATTTAATTTTCAAAGGTGAGAAAGTATTGTGCTTGGAAGGTCCAAAGGTACGAAAGGCAAAACAAAGCCGCCTAAAAGGGCACAATGGCCTGCATTGGGGGCAAGGTTAAACTGCACGCGACGCGAGAACCGTCGTCTACTTCTCATCAACCGGCATACGTTGACGACAGAAGTCACATGGCTGTGGATGGGCTCGTTTTAAATGCTCTTTTCCTCTCCAGCAACGGTCACTTTTTGTATGTGGGCAGCAAAGCGACTACATTTTTTTACAAGAGAAGCATTGTTTGTTGATTGGCTGCGCTGCAAAATCAGATTCATTCGCAATACAAACTTTTGTTAGATCACATTATGTGCTAGACTCAATTTATACCAGACGGTTCATGTTTTTTTGGTTGAGTTAGGAGGTGATGGATAAGTGCTTGGTTTCATCTTGCTTCCGTCTGGCAATGTTGCTTCAACGCAGTCGAATCCCCATTCTTCTCTCATGTTAGCAGACGCACCCCCCCACCCCACCCCCCACCCCGTCGCTTCAGGGCAGACGAACCCTCCGCCGACACATTGATTGTCACGAGCCCAAACTGAGTGCTCACGCAGTGCTCACGTCCAATCTGTGGGCCAGATTTAATTATCGTCACATTCTGAAAATCTCCACACCACACACACGGCTATGAAGATTGCGACCGCTATGTATGTGCAAAAAATGAAAGCCGTTTACAACTCCCTGTAACGCCGAATTAGAGCGCAGCTCTTGGGGAGGAGGAGAGAAGGGTACTGGGTGGTTTGGGTAGACCAAGTGACCTCGGGGGGCGGGGGGGGTCATGTGACCTTGGGGGGTCACGTGGCCTTGTGGGAATTACGTGACCTTGGGGTGTCACCTGACGTCGGGGCGTCACGTGACCTGGGGGTCACGTGACGATGCCGATGACGTCATCAATGACGTCACTGATGACGTCATCAGTGACGATCACGATGCGGATAGCGGTGACGTCATCAGTGACGTCACTGATGACGTCATCAGTGATGATGCGGATGCCGGTGACGTCATCAGTGACGTCACAGATGACGTCATCAGTGATGATGACGATGACGATGCGGATGCCGGTGACGTCATCAGTGACGTTGCTGATGATGTCATCAGTGATGATGCCGATGACGATCGGGATGCCGGTGACGTCATCAGTGACGATGACGTCAACGGGGGGTCACGTGACCTCGGGGGGGGGGGGGGGGTATCCCCAGGTCACGTGACCCCGGGAGGGGTCATGTGACCTGGGTAACCATCGTGACGCTCGTGAGGGTAACCCTAGTACCCCTTGTGAGGGCAACTCTCGTGACCCTCGTGAGGGTAACTCTCGTGACCCTCATGAGGGTAACTGTCATAACACTCGTGACCCTCGTGAGGGTAACTCTCGTAACCCACGTGACCCTCGTGAGGGTAACTCTCGTGACCCTCCTGAGGGTAACTCTCATAACCCTCGTGAGGGTAGCTCTCATAACCCTTGTAACCCTCGTAAGGGTTACGAGGGTTAGTAACCCTCGTAGCCCTCGTGAGGGTAACCCTCGTGAGATTAACCCTCGTAACCCTCATGAGGGTTACGAGGGTTACTCGGTTACGCCGACGGCGACGGCGACGCCGCTCAAGCCGGGAACGGGCGCCTAAGAGCTGCGCTCTAAGAAGGTAACCTAACAGAGGCTAATACAGGAAAAGGTCGTGAGGGGCAAGAAGTATTTGTGGTAATAGGAAAGTTTTAATTAAGATGCATGATGCGAGTCCTACGCTATTACAATCCCTGGGAATACTATGTTTCTTCATTGTAATAATCCATAAAACTCAAATGCAAAAAAAAAAAATTGTCAGGCTTAGGAAGAGAGGTTCAAACTTGTGTTGCTTACTTTGCATTATTGCTGTCTATTGGTATCCTGGGGAATGTTACGATATGCGCAGTTTTTCGACTGCAATTAGTCTTTTACAGCGCTTTACGGAGAGAAGGCGAGAGAGGGCGCAGGATGCTCGTGGACAAGAAAGCTAGGGATGTTTATAAAACAAATCTCTAAAGCTTAAATAAGGACAGTTGTATAAAAAGAAAAAGCCAACTACGCTGACTTGATGTAACAATATTAACATTTTAATCGGGCGTTTTGTCTCCCATGCAAGAGACATATCATCAGTGCATGTTCAGGCACTCGGACGAGGGGAGTACAGAAGCGGCATTCACACGCACTTTGGGAAGGGGGCCTCGGCTTGCATTGCAGGCAGATGCGTCACTATGAATGCACCACGACTGCAGAAACTTTTGCGGGCCTCACCTTTGTTCTCGTGCCAAGGTAGCTGCACTCTGAAAATCCAAGCGTTGACCCGTTTTCCAGCAGTGATCCCTCGTTCAGTTTTTGACTTGGCAGCATGTGTGGCCTTTTCTGCGTCTCAGTGTGGTGTGAACTGTGAACCGCCAGGATTGTGACTCATCCTACAACGGTGAGACCGGCCGGAAACATGTCCGTGGCATCCTTGTTGCGACTCCTTATTAACCTATACTTGTTTTCACCTCGAGAGCCGTAGTAAAAAAAGTCCGGCTCCTCGTGGCGAATTACTCATTTCCCCCTTTATGTAGATAATTACGATATATAGAGGTGCATTCTAGATTAGGTACATGTTACCTTATCAAGACCTACACACTTCAAACGCTCAAAGCATTTCTTCCTCCGACAACCAAATCCTGTAAGAACTACTTTGCGCGACGTATGAACAATACACAAAACTTCTTTTTTTCTTGGGGTGAAAACGCTTCCTTTGTGTCTTGGCATACGCCAAATACTTTGGAGCATCTCAGGTTAAACCAGCATCATCTCGTTTCTTTTTTTTAAATATATATTTGTATCCTTATTTTCTTACCATTGTGTAAATGCCCTTTTGAGCCCTCGAGGCACAATAAATGATGACAATGAATTGTTTTTAGTGCACCTTAGCATAAGCTAAAATTTCAATATGGCGTCCCTCCGTTTGCAGAACCCCCAAATTTTATTGAGTGGTACGCAGCCATCTTGTCTCTCTAAAATTAGGTGAATCCATGTCTCTTTTTAATAAACCATGTTAATGGCACCTCTGTTGTGGCTGCTTGACCCGTTTCCGGACCCTTTGTGTAATGCCTTTTTGGGCATTAAACCGAGGCACAATAAATGATGATGATGATAATGAATTGTTTTTATCGCGTTTTAGCGTAAGCTAAAAGGTTACTATGACGTCAACTCTATTTGCAAAACTTCAAGATTGTGTTGAGTGGGACAAAGAGCCTGGCAGCCATCTTGTATTTGTGAAGTCAGGTATGTTGTTGAATCGGTGTCTGTCTTGGGGCTTTGCACCTTGCAAAACATTAGCATTATTAAAAAAGAAGATGTTTACAAATCTCTGTAATGGGAAATTAGAGCGCAGCTCTTGAGGAGGAGGAGGGTGTGCCTTTCCTCTTTCTTCATACCGTCTTCTCCTCCTTCAATTCAGTTTCCCCGCTAAATTTAGCGGGGAAAATGACATCACATGACTTGGTGTCTTGTCCTATGAACAAATTCAGTTTCTCTAGGTTTAATAGGAAAATTGATGTCGCGTGACCTCAACACCATTCCAGTTCCCCGCTACGTGACCTCAACACAAATTCAGTTCCCCGCTAAATTTAGCGGGGAACTGAATTGGTGTTGAGGTCACGTAGCGGGGAATGCAATTGGTGTTGAGGTCACGCAACTTCAATTTTCCCGCTAAATCTAGCGGAGAAACTGAATTTATCTGCTAAATCTAGCGGAGAAAGTGAATTTTCCCGTTAAATTTAGCGGAGAATTGAATTGGTGTTGAGATCACGTGACGTCAATTTTCCCGCTAAATTTAGTGCGGTTGTGCCACGCCAACGCCACGAAACATGGAAACGGGCACCTAAGAGCCGAGTCCTAAAGGGATCTCGCTTTCTTTTATACTCGCAGAGCCAGATTACTATGAGGAATACCGGGAACCTGACAGCCCAGTGCCGCCTCTTACGAAAGGTACGTTGTCGACAACACTTTTTTTTACAGCTTTGGTTTTGCAGCGATATTGGTGGCCAAGTGAGTCCACGCATTGCAACTCAAAGCACTTGAAGCAAAAGCTTGCGCTGCGGAACCCAGGGTTCAATCACCACTTCTGCCCATTTTACTAATTCATTCATTCATTCATTCATTTATTTCACCCTTTAAGGCCAGGTTAGGACATAAGGGGGGATTGAATTGATCAACACAATAGTGACTCAGAGCGGTAACGCGTATACAAAAATAAAGGCAGCAGAGATTACTATGCATGTATTCGATTTAAATGGGCTGGTAGAAGATTATAAAACACTGCTGCGTTGGTGACACCAGCGACAGAGGATGGCAGCTGGTTCCATTCAGGGATTGCATGAGGAAGGAATTGTTTGTTAAACACGTTTGTTTTACTGGAGATTCGTTTATTTGGACAAGAGTTCTACAGGTGGTATGATATTTTATAGGGGGCTTGAGAAGAAGGCACTTGTGAGCTTTGGGCAATGGTAATAAATTTTACAAAGTGGGCAAGCCAGATAACTTCCTCTGGGTTTGAAGGGGTGATAGTCCAAGTTGTCTTTTAGGGAAGAGATACTGGCAGAGTAGACATGCAACGAGCATGGCACATTTATGCAGTCGTGCATTGCTATTGTGGGATGCATCTTAAAGACCCCAGGCTTCATACTGCACTCTCAGGTAAAAATTCCCATTAGATACAATGGGAATTCTAACTTGTTTAATTGGAACCAATTGGTTCTAGTGGGTTCCAATTGGAAGCACACTGGCCAATTGGTCTCACCAATTGGAATAATTTTTCCAGTGGTAACCTGAATGGATTCCAAATGGTTCCCATTGGTTCCCATTGGTAGTGACCGATTGGTTGTTTGAAAACCTAGCGGAGGCATTGGACGGCCATTGGGGCAGGCTATCTTCCCACTGTATAAACATACACGCAACACAGTGACCCTATTCGCTATATGTCTCACTTGTTTTTTTTTTGTTTTTTTTTTTCCTGCTTGCTGAACCCTCAGAGTACACGGATGTGACAAGGGTTACATTTCACTTGGGTACAGGTCTGTAGTGCATAAACTGGCAATTTCGGCCGTCAATCGCTGGCAGCAAATTTAGTGTGATGCCATTCTTTGCAGAGTCGGGGGTTTTCGAAGAGAACCGGCTACGCAACTTCGCAGCAGTGGCCGTTAAGACTGGTCTGTTTCGTTAGTATATATGATCTTATGGCTAGGTGCCATTCTAAAGTTTGCAACCACTTCTACATGCAGAGCCACAAGATCCGAGGGAAGTCGGCGCCGAGGTGGTTTCTGCTGGGACAGGCACATAGCTGTGCTATTTATCTCGCAGTTTAGGGTCTCTGTTGGCCATGAGATTTGGCCATCACGTGCACTGCAGTGAAGAGAGCACCTGTATGCACCATTTTACGCTAACTTGAAGCACGGTATAGTTTGCAAGTAATATATTGTATATAAATAAATCTTTTCAGAAATTCAGTCTGGCCACTTCGATAACAGTCGTCAACAGAGTGATCATCTGTCATCCACATCATCATCATCATGAGCAGTGAAAAAAAATTTAGCATACAATAAATTTTTTTGGAGCGATGCTAAAATCATAAAAATGGTTTTGTTGCACTCTCTAATGTTTGCGGTTTGCTCTTCTAGAGTGGAAAGAACTGGGAGGAGCTTACATTTTATTTTTAACCTCTTGACGACTTTAGGATCCACGAAGCCTTGCTCACCAATAAACCCAACAATAAACTTGGTTTCTTTTTTTTTCCCCGTATAAACAACAAGTACTTTACCTTATTTTGGGTCATTCTTTTTCGTATACATCAATGAGAAAAATTTAGTTTATGCGAGCACTTAGCTATATAATATTCCTTTATCCCTTTATAAACACAATTATACCCCAGATCTTTCCTGAGCTCCCCACACTGCAGATCCTATCACTTCCGCCGATCCACAAGCAGTCCATGAAACATCAGTGGTTGATGACCACTAGTCTGGGACACAGTTATCAAGATGAACGACTCCGCTCCACCAGACATGGCGTGTGTGTTGAAAAATGCCGGCGCACACACTTCCTTGCAGAACACGCAGGAGTCAAGTCCTGCAAACTTCGGAAGGGACACGCAAATGACGAAGCTCAGGACGGGCTTAGACGCGAAAATGCAATGTGCGCAATGCGCCAATAAAAATGAGCACGACGTTTTTATTGCTATCTATTTTTACGAGCATGTGGCATATTTCAAGTGTAATCCTATTCTGAGATTCATCCCACCTCATCTTCCGTCCATGGGCCAAGTTCGACGTCAGCGAGTTGGGCCAAGTTCGACGTCAGCGAGTTGGTCCAAGAGATGTCGGTTGGTCACGCCGGGTTTGCCACCCGCTGCGATTAGTCAGCACCACACCTCACGGGATTGCAGACGCTCGGGAAAGTCGGGAACACCCCAGTACCTCCCCACGCGTTCTGCGACAGAGTACATACCACAGTGTGTCTAGGGTTGAACGACAACTAAAAAAATTTAACCCGATTATTCGCTACCGAATAATCAAATACTTGTTAAATTAATCAATTGCGTCGATCTCCAGGCATAATATGTAGAGTGTGTATTTTCCGGTTTTAACCGAAAAACACCGATAAACATCCGTCGGTGACAAAAATACAAAATCGGTTAAAACTGAAAAACACCGGTGGTTGGATATTTTCGCCCCGGTTAAAACCGAAAAACACCGGTCGTTGCACGTTTCCGACCTAGCGAAACCCTTTCCCCGGAGAGGTTCGTCAAACGCGTTATTTCGTGGATCCTGCATTCTTCCAGTGTCTATGCATGGCTTGCACGTGGCGTCGGTCCGCCCTCCTTTCTGGGGGTGAAAAGCATCTAGTTAACGCAGTGAAAGCTAAGCTCTCACACGCCTTTCCCCTACTATGTCGCCCACGGCCCCCTTTTGTGGAAAAATTAACGCAGCGGAGGGTACGCTCTCGCGTGCCTTTTCCCCATTGTGTCTGGCCAAGTAATGTCGGTGCAAGCCATGTATTCAGAGGTTGCTGTGGTTCCTGGAAGACACTACCAACATCCGTGTCATACAGGGCTACTGAGCTTTCAGAACTGAGATGCGTTCCTTGTTATCTGTTTAGTTTCCATGGGCTTTAGGGGAAACGGAAAAAGGGTTTTGTTGGCGGGGGAGTTTTTTGCTGTATATAAAAGAACCGTTCTGTAAAAAAATTTGCAGACGTGTTTGAGAAGGCGCGTCCGTCCCGCGTCTGCGGGTTTTCTCAACGTGAGACTGGCATCCCTTCGTCGTCACGCGGAGTAGAAGGCCACCAGGGTGGGAAGTAAGCAAAAAGCTCAGGATGACTACGCTACAGATTTCATGGATGAATCGTCGTTCTGGTTCCGCGTGGCAATTGTTAATCCGTGCATAAACGTGGAGCTGCCAGAGGGATTTGTGCCTTATGAAAGTATCTATCGGCTGGTCCTCCGAGACGAGAGCTAGCTGAGTGACCTAGGATCAGAGTTTCTTTGTTACCGCCAGTATGCTGTGACTGGCACCGTTGATCCAGTGTTATTTTGGAAACTTCATTTACCTGACTGTCCACTACTGTCCCAAGCCTGGCTGGACATTTTGGGATTTCCTGTGTCCAGCGAAAATGTGGAGCGTGTGTTTTCGAAATTGCGGGTTGTGAACCGCAAGGAAGGTGCTGCCATGACGGATGCAAGCCTCCCGAAGTATGCTTGCATCGACTATAATAACCGAGTGTGAGAAATATATGCTTCTTCGAGAAGTGTATGAAATATGTGAATAAAATTAGAACTCTCTGTCTGTGATCAATCGCATTTTTTTCCACCGATAATCACCGATTTTAGCCTCGTCATGAGACGTTCCACCGAAATACACCGGTGTTTCGAAAATAAATAAACATCGAAAAACATACGCCAATTTTTCTCACAAATAAACACCGGAAAGTACACACCCTAATAATATGCAATATATAAAAGGACCAAAACATTTGGTGCCTATTTCTCGTTTTGTATAAATGGCAACACAATAATTTGAAACACGCATCATTGTTCTGAAACAGCTCGAGTAAATAAAATGACTCTGCATGCCTTTGAAACGAGTGTTTTAACTTGCAGGATTGGAAATTCTCGTTCAATATGAACGGTATTGTGTAAAACAAAGGTGGAACCAATAGAAAACACAGCCGGGCTCGGGCAAGGTTCGGGCCCAAGCTTTATTGGGCAGGGCTCTCTTCAGCTAAAATAAATATATAATAATAATAAAAATAATAATTCCGGCCCGATCTGATCTTTAATGCAGACATCCTTTGTGCCCTAGGTTTTGATGCAGGTACGGTAAGAATGTTGTGCAGAAATATTTGTGGTAATGTTAATGTTTACTTGAAAATAGTAAAAGATGGGAAAATAAAAGAAGGGTCGGTAAAAACGAGGAAATGTACGCAGTTCGGAAGTGTTTCGGGGCTATCCGATCCGACGGATGGCGTCGGCGTGGTTTCTCGTCATAAGCAGCAACAGGCAGATGACACATACCCCGTCCCACTCAAACGCAGTGGACTCCATTACCCACTAAGCTGACGAATTGGTGGCTTGTTGAGCCAGTCAGCCGTCGCTTTTGCATTGCATGATCACGCTCTTTTCACATACTATCGTGCAGAGAATGGGGTTGAGCAATTAAAGGCGGGCGATTGATTGGTCCAGCGAGTACGAAGTATACTCTCTTCCTGTCGGCTTAGATGTGTGTTGCAGCAACTACTATAGTGGGCGACAGGTTAAAGCTGCAGTTCACGTATACATTGCAGTGCGAAAACAACACTAGGAGCAATGTAGACTTGAACAATGCACTGTTGCAGCACGAAGTCAGTGCTGCATTAATTAGCGTGGCAAGCACTATTTCCAGTGTTGACCAGTAGCGCCGAGCGTAACGGAATCCGCGCCGCTAGCGAGATCACTTCCAACCTCGGTGAGGTCGAGCATGGCCAGTTCCTTGTTGCCACTATTATTTGCTTACTAAACAGTTCCGAAAACCATCCCACTGAGTAGCACTGTGGCCTATTTGTGAACAGGCCTTAGGGTTCAGTAGATGCTTGAGCTTTTGGCCTTTGATAAACGCTTTCTTGCGTGGACAGACAAAGTGCAGTGGGGGGCGACAAGCGGACGCTAGAGGTAAGGTTGCTGGGAACGACCTGTACAGAACAGGAAGCAGACGATGCAGTCGAACAATTGCACTATTTCTCTTTCTCCAGGGCCGTAGGGTAGGTTTTGATAGCTTCCGTGGGGAAGGGAAAGGCGTGCCAAATACCTCCTAAATAAAAAAGCCTTAATGCCAACATTGCTACAATTGGTTACACCGTAAAGGCTGGTTTGCACATTTGCGTCGACTGCATTGTGTCATGCAGCACAGTGCCTCCCTATTGGCTCGTCGTGAGTGTTGCCATAGCAACAGCTCGAAGCAAGCAGTCTTATTGAGGTGCAAGTGGTTGCAGTCACACTCAAATGCAACTGTGTGAACGGGCCTTAACGCTACCAAACCCGGCTAATCGCTGGGCATGCCATCAGGGGCCATATTGCCAAAGCCAACGATTTGCCGGGCTGAATAAATTTCTGTTTTAAAGGGATACTGAACCGAAATTTCAAGCTCGCTAAACAAGGCCGGGCGGATAGGCGGGAAGCTGCAAAACCAAAAAATATCTCTTCTACGGCAATATATATCTAACGGATCGCCATATTTTTTGGAAAAGAAGTGCGCGATTGAACCTGGCCAACGAGACAAGGCACGTCACGATTCTCATTCTCTCTCCTCCGCGCTACATCCCGTCAAGCTGGTGAACCGAAGCGAGGAGGAGAGAAGCAAGCCGCTTCTCCTCATTCTCAAATTCTTCCGGAGGACAGTTACGTTAAAGAACTCGCTTCATTGCGCCCTTTTCCAAAAGTATGGCCATCCCTTTAAGATATTGATGTACGAGTGATGTTTTGGAGTTTGTAGCGTCCAGTTCAACACTTCTGCCGACTTACTTTGCGAAATCCAAATTTCGGTCAGTATCCCTTTAAGAAGCCATTCAAAGATGGCGCACTATGTAGACTTGGGGCATTGTAGCTAGATACATTGCCAACAGATGGCGAGAGTTCTGTTCACTTTGTTTGAGCTTATTGTTTTGTATGGCATTTTTCCCGCTCAATCGCTGCCTGCTTGGAGGAGATGTTAGCGTCCAGTGTACAGTGAGGAATTTCTAACAAAGAAATCATAGATCCTCTTCGACAGGACGGGACGTCTGGTGAGGATGGCGAGTTTTTTGGAGCCTTCTGTCAACGACTGGAGTGATTCTGACAGCAGTTCTGAGTCCGAATCACGACAAGATAGCACTGGTTGTGTGATGCCTAAGCGACCGAGGATGGAGTTCTTCCAGATCTTTCAAATGAGGAAGAATCTGTGAGGGCCTAGTGATTTGCAGACTTGAACGAACCACTTAAAGACCGACGACCAGTTCGCGCTTTCCACTTTTTCTCTGCTTCCTCCTCTCCCCCTTACCCGTCCACCGTTGCCCGTTTTCTCCTCCCCCAAGGCGAGGAGGATCTTCTGCCTTGCAGAATCTCGTGCCTGGTCGTCGGCCTTTAAGCATGTAAGTAAACATGTTTTCTTGTTTTCTGCACTGAGTTTTACTGGAAAAGCTTATGATACAAGCAAAACAGTCGACCTAGCGTGGCGGGTTTTGGGGAAAAACTTGCGGCATGGACGGCCCGGCAGCGCCCGACGCGGGCGGTTGCGGATGGGTTGAAGGTGCACTAAAGATGTTTTTGAGATTGTATGTTCTTGGTGATAACTCCTTCTACGGGATCTTAGCATCCCAGAAATCGAGAAATTATGCTGTGCAACGTCTATTTCATTACTAAAAATGTGATTGAAGTTTGTGCCATGCTCCTTTCTGAGCAGAAAAATCTGGAGCACAGAATTCAGCGAAAGCGCCGACGGCGTGACGATGGTCACGTGTCAGCCAATCGCAAGCGGAGGCACTGCTGGTGCCTCCGCTGAATTTTGTGCTCCAGATTTTTCTGCTCAGAATTGGGGCGTGGCACTTCTATCAGATTTTTAGTAGGGAAATAGACGACGCTCAATCAAAATTTTTGGATTTCTAGGATGCTCGGAGCCCCGTAGGGTACTCCTCCCACCTTTTTCTACTTTAGTAGAGTGGACGCTGGAAAGGAGGTCGCCTCCTTTCCAGCATCCACTTTGCTAGAGTGGAAAGAGGTGGGTTGTCACCAGCTACGGGTTACGCACCCCGGCCAGTTGTGGAACTTCTGCGGAGGGAGGTGTGCCCCCTCACTCACTTCAGTTCGTCTCTCGTCGTTTGAAGCGCCATCTAGACAATTGTTTAAAAACTGTTTTCCATAGAGCATGAGCCAGTATGAGCCATAAAGTATGGTGGAACAGGTGGAACGCCATTTAGACGCTGTGCTTCGAAACTTTCGAAACCTACGCAAGCCGTGGTGAGAGAGAGGGGGTACGGGTACTCTTTGAAGCAGCGTCTAGGCGTCTATGACCAGTCCTGCCTTCTCCTGCGTCATTAAAGCAGGCCACCGAAGGCCAAAAATTACATTACTAACGTTGATATTAAAAACACTTGCTAGGTAGCGCAAGCTGCCGCCCAATTTAAAAAAAAAACGTTTTTTTATCAAACATTATTTTAGAAAAATGAAATCATTTTTTATATATGAATTAGGCAGTTTTAGGTTATGCCAACACTATCTAACAAATCTTTTTTTTTACACACAATTGTATTTATCACGATTGTTGCAATCACAGCCTCGACGCCAGGCGCTAGCAAGATCAGCAAGATCGTTTCTAGTGATGGGACGAATCACCGGAGATTCGGATTCGGTCAGATTCGGAAATTTCCGAACTTCCCGCGACGAATATTCGGGAGATTCGGAGATTCGTCGGATTCGTCGCTGGTTGCAGGCGGCAGCGTGAACCTTGTCGTAAACCTCGCGAATGCGGTTAGTTGTGTCTTTTTTAGGTACTGTTACTGCATATAACCAGATTTCGTCTTGTTTATTTCAACGTATGGTATGTACTGTACTGTCATTCTAAACCCTGGCACGCGCCCAGGTCCCGCTGAGCTGATCGGTGTGGTTGACGTAGCCCTAACCAATGCACTGTCTCAACTTCTGTGCGGTTTCGTGGTGATCGGTAAAATGTAGCGAAATGCTATGCATTATATTTATACATAATGTGGCGCAACGCACAATAAATATATTCAGGCAAAGAAATAAATCGTCTCCTCTAGAGCTGCGTGTAAGGCGCGAGAGCGAGATGACTGTTGCTCGTCACAACTTCCGCGTACCGGCACCAGTGGCGAAGAAAAACTCCGCACTGTCGTCACTGTCGTTTCTTCGTTGTCGGCAGCAAGTTTTGTGTGCGTGAACTTCATTTGATGAAAAAGAAACACAACATAGGGGGGAGGGGTCGGTCGGTCCAACGCAACTTTATTGTTCGGAAACAAACTCTAACTAAATCGAATATCATTAACAGTTTCAGATTGTTTCCTCTGTTCTGATAACAAGACCTCATTAGACACACGTTGAAGATAATCGACTCGAACAAACTCACTTGTGTGGTGGAAATACAAATACACGTGAAAATACAAACTCACTTATGCGCCTGTATTTCCACGTGCACCAAGCATGCGTATTTTGGTCGTAATCCGGAACCGAAACCAATTTTCCCGCGATGTCTGGCTACCGTTCTCGACAAACATCCAAAATAGCAAAGCAAAACATTTTATTTATTACTTTGATATTATATTACAATATTATTTAGTGCACTTTGTAGAATTTAGTGAATTTAATATCACGAAAAGTTGAAACACTCATCAACGTGATCTGGCAACCATGGCAATGCTCCGAATCTTTCCGAACTTATCCGAATCGCTTGAGATTCGGCTACTCTTCCGAATCTTTCCGAATCTTCAGATTCGGCTCCGAATCGAGATTCGGATAAAGATTCGTCCCATCACTAATCGTTTCGTTTCACTTTCCGCTTCGCTTTCCTTTCACTTTGCGCCGAGTGGACCGAGCAGCATGGCAGCCAACGTGTCTGACGCAATGGAATCTATGAGTTTAGGCGACCACGAAAAGGCATGGACCTTTTAACAGTGACCCCGATTTTCTGACGCACTCGCGCCTCGTAATGTTGGTCCCTTCATTTCGGCACGTTTGTGCGAAACGCTTTGGTTACCACCTTGTCTCCGTGCGTGCTTCATGCCGGGTCGGCAAGGTGCGTCGTCTGGACAGAGCTGTCGTTCCCGTCCTAGCAGAAAGTAACGTGCCCCCGACTGACGTAGTTTTTCGTGGCTACCGTGGTCTAGCATTTGGCCCGCTTAACGCATGCTAGGCACTGCGATGCGGTGGGACATTTCGATGTCGTTTGCTGACGCTTGATTGCGTCTTTTCAGGCTGGTGCCGGCAAAGCGAAAGCTGAGGTCAGGGCGCCTGCCCAAGAGGTACGTTTTCAAGCCGGATTCTAGAGATCCGACTTATTTATTTGCTTATTCTTCACGCTTGTTGAGCCATTTCCTTTACGGCCTGGACGGGGCCGAGGTTGATCGCCGTTTTGTCACTTGCAGCCGCGAGAAGGTCATGTAATTTGGGGTGACGTGAGCTAGCAGTACTGCGCCTTTAGAAAGATGTGTTCATTCATTCATTCAACTCTGAAGCTGCACCGTTAAGAGAACAATTGCTGAAACCTTTTTTTTTTTTTTTCGTTAACTGTCTCCCCCTTTTTCTTTTTTCGATGCGTCGTCTCAACCAAAATGCCTGTTTGATATGTATTTATTTATTGAATAGCTTACAGGTTGAAGTTAAATTACACAAAAGGGGGAGAAACATTTGGAGCTGGAGGAAAAGGAAAAAAAAAGAAGTAGAGTACTCGAAGCAAAACCATAAAGCAATCGATGCACAATAAAAAAAATCTGAAATAAAAAAAAAAAAAGAAACGACGCCGTTACTTGATGAGCAAATCGGATCCACCACAATGTTAACCAAGAACCGCAGTGGAACGAGCGAGAAGCTTGAAAACTTTTTTTAACAGTGACGCACAGTCTTGGAAAAAAAGTGATTTGGAGAGAAACCTCTTGGAGACCTCAGAGGGGCAGCCAAAAACTTAGTAAGAGGCTTTTACCGTGTGGCCGGCGTGTTCAGTCAGTGAGAACACGAGTCTTGGCCAAACGCTTGCGTTGCACTCTTGTCCCACATGGGCCCTAGGCTGACCTCTTGCAGCTGACGTGGGAAGTGCAGCACTTGACCTCGTTATGAGCAGGCACCGGTACAACGCGGGGATGGTCTGAGTGGAGAGCATCATAATAGCACCAATACCGGTGGATAATTCCAAGCAAAGCAACAGGTTGGTGGCACGAAATCACTATGTGCAGATGAAGCCGTGGCCCGGGTACATAGAGGAGCGCATCCGCCTCTGGGACGAGCTGAAGGCGAAGCATGATCGGGAGCTGGCGGCCCGGGCGAGCGAGCCGATCAAGGTGACCCTGTTGGACGGACGGGTGCTGGACGCACAGTCGTGGAAGACCACCCCGTACACCCTCGCCGCAGAGGGGATCAGGTGAGCCCGGGACACCATGACTGGGACGGGCGCGTTTACTGCGTCCTCAAAAGTGGTCCCTCGATTTCGGTTTCGTGATGTCTTGGAAGCGTCGGCCGCAACCCCGGTGACATCGCAGCGACGGTGGTTAAGGCGGGCGCCTCTTCCGCTGCAGGTCGCACTCCGGCTTGACGGTCCGTCAAAGCTTTGGCGGCAAAGAGTTGGACCCCGCAATGACGGCGACGGATATGTTCCTTCACACTTTTTTTCCGGGACTTCTATGCCCAACCGCCAGAATCGCTAAGTTCGGCAGCAGGACACTGGGTTTTCTGACGTCATTTGTTGCCACTTTGGGGACCGCTTCTGATGCATGGATGGGATCGGGCGCTAAACACACCCCAGTCAAATGCATTTCAGGCACCGCCGTTGGAGAGGTGGCTTAGCTAAAGCGGTGTCTGGCTGCGTCTCTTTACGACTCTCGCATGGTCTGCCTACTTCACGAGGTCTAAAAGTGTGCAAAATATTTGCGTACACGTCCCGCTCAAACGTAGAACATGCTGTCAAAGTCATGCGCCAAGAGGAGGGGTAGAGGGTTTGTTGCCTTCCCTTCCTTCAGTACAACAAAGTGAAAGGGTGTGGGAGTTTCATTAAGGGGCTCTGAGACTTCGGAACTAGGGTGAATGGTGTCCAAGGGTTAAAAAGGTAAACTTAAAAAGGGAGGGGGATCATAAAGAGCGATGAGAACCGGTACGACAGCACAATACCAGTGTTCTGATGGGCGGAGGCACGTTAGGCTACGCTTCATTCGTAGTTTGCAGAACCCCCCCCCCCCCCCCCCCCAGGCAGTCCTTGTCACTCGAAGGAATGCCGTGGACACTGGCACCTCAAATGATATTATATTGTTTATGCTGAAGGGTTTGGGAGACAGAAGAGTGTAAAGCTTCCCTCCCTCTCGCCCATCTTACCAGCAGACGACAGTACAAGCTTCCAATTACGGGGGAGCTTCGACTCTTGCTTCCGAGCAGCACGAGGGAATTAGTTAATGCGAACTGTTAGCGAAACGTCTGGAATGTTCTAGAAGTTTTTCTGCATTGCAGTAAGGGCCTGGCTGACAGCGTGGTGATTGCCAAGGTGGATGGCGTGTTGTGGGACCTGGACAGGCCCCTGGAAGCTGACTGCTCTCTGCAGCTCCTCAAGTTTGACGACCCCGAAGGTTCGTGTCGTTAAACCTCCTCAAGGTTTGGCAGAATCTAGTCGTTACATTGACCGACATGTCGCCGCGTGCGGGGCAGAGTTTACAAGACGTGCGGCTGTCCCACTCAGCCCAGCTTTCTTTTATAATTCTCCACTCTTCTAGAAAGTTCCAGCTCGTTCTAGGCTGTCGTCGTGTGTTCTTGTTTGGAACATTCCCAAGCTTAAAGGGCAACTCCGCTCAATTCCGAAAAATTTAGGCTTCCATGTGATTCACATTCACAAAGCACTACTAAACAACTCTACGTCTTCGGATTCGCGAAATGTGGAATATTATTTGTGTAATCCTAATTTAAACATCAGCAGATACCGAAATTGAAACTTCGGTTGCGTCAGGCAACATTGGTCTCGGGTCGTCAGAGTCATGGCACGTCACGTCGAACTACGTGGTCTTGTGACGTTCGGGAGAAAACAAAAAACCAAACAAGGTCTTTTTTTTTTTTTTTTTACTTGTTATTGGACGCGGGCAGGTTGCTTTGCATGGCATGGACGGTGATGGCCCGGGGGCGAGGGAGAAGGGGACTAGACGAAAGAGGAGAAAAGGAGCGGTAGGGCAGCGCATCCATGTTACGGTGATCACGTGAAAGCCCGGTCAGCCAACACCGGGAGGAGAAACTCATGACGTCATTGTTCAATTTCGCTCTGAGAAGTAAAAACAAACAAAACGTGAGAATGACGTAGTCATGCCTCTGACGTAGTGGTTCAACGTTGGCCGCTCCATCTCCGTGGCATTGACTGCGCTGGTGATTGCGCCTCGCGCCGCACGCTAGAGTTGGCAGATTTCGGCGACTTGGCTCACTTGAAGGTTTGCTGGCCAGTTTATTAAATATATAAACGGAATTAGATTGTAATATTTGACATGGGGTCTTCCTATGTGATACTGAAGAGGGCTACATAGTTTTCTAAATATAAGAAATGAAGCAGAGTTGCCCTTTAAAGGGACACTGACACCCCCCAAAATTGATTTTTTATTTTTTGCCAGGCGATTCATTATGGTATCAGAAGACTACCCAATCAATATTTTGCTATGTCTCATAGATTTTTTAATAAAATTAAAAAAACGCAACTGCTCGAAACCGAAAGGGAGGAGAAAGATAGAGGAGGAGAGCGGTGGCAGGAAGTCACGTGGGTGTGATAATTTTTTGTCCCCCAAACAACGCATTTGCAGCTTTTTAGAAGCCACAAAAAATGGGTATCATATTTTTTATTTTTAGTATTGTGTGTGCCTTCGATGACCTACGACTTTGATTATATTTGGTGGTTGTGTCTAAACCATAAAGAACAGCACGTGGCCAAAGAGATGAGAGTGAGTGCGACTCAAACCGGCCAGTTCTCGGTTGGCTGTTTTTGGTCGTAAAGAAAACGAATTTCGAGCCGCGAATTGTTTTCTGGATAGTTGGGATCGCATATGTAATGTACAAATCGGGGTGTGACATCTGCACCAATTGCACCATTTTGATACAAACCCAATTTTCTGTGCCTAGTTGCACCATAAACGCGAAATCGGTCGAAATTGCGCCACACTGTGCCAAAGTAACTCAAAAGCTAAAAAAAGAAGTTTGCCGCGACGCTAGATTTAGCGGGAAACAAGAGCTTGGTTGGCAACATTTAATCTCGTCGTAGTAAAGTACACGGCACGGGTACAGGGTGGCGCAAGCAACCGCCGGATCCGAAGATTTCAGCTGTAGTACCTTTCTATTATACGTGGTCTTTTCTCGATTTTCGTTCTACTTTCTGCTGTCATTTCCGACTGCACGCTAATGGTGCGCTGTTAGCGGTCTCGCCGACTGGCCGCTGGAGGTACAACGCACAGGCTATCAAGATGAGCAATACTAAGTATTTCTTTCATCTTGAGAGTAAACCTTTTCTTAAAAGAGCCATTGAGCGCCTCCATTGTGTAATCGTTCATTCGTGTCCGTAATCTCGTCAAAATGGACGGTGCCGTCGCCGTGAGTACTTTTGGTTATCACACAGGTGCTTCCAGAGTGTTAGCAATCGAATGAATCGGTCACAGACCCGTATTTAGCGTGAATGTGGTGCTCGTAGTTTTTCTACAAATTCATTATTTACCTTGCAACTCACTTTTGTGGGGAGTTTTTTTCTACCTGTACGTGCTTTCTACGAGTGTCCGATCGATGTATACTTGTAGTGAAGCTTGTGGAATCACCGCTTTAGAAAGTTTTGCACTACAATTGCGCTTTGGCACCAGTTTGTATAAGCTTGAGGTACCTGGTGCCCACCTAACTTTGCAGCAAGCCTGTTTTTCTTGTCCTCATTTATGCGCTTAGAACTCGCGTGTGCCTTTTCCGTTTTTTTTTTTTTTTTTGTGCATATTGGCGTTGATGACTTATTGGAAACAGGGTGGACAAAAATAATGATTAAAAAAGAAAATCTGATTTATTTGATTTATATCAGATTTTTTTATGATTTAAATTGCTGATAAGCTGCTCTAACATTTTCTGCTCCTAAACTGCTCCAAAGTGTAGAATTTTTGTGCTTCGAAGTTGCTCCAAAATGCATAAACTGCTGCTTCAAAACGAGAATTTTGTGCTCCTAAGCTGCTCTAAAATCCAAAATTTTCTGCTCCAAAAATTGCTCCGAAACCTGTTTCACCTGTCTCACCCCTGAAAAATAAAAACCTCGGCGGGCATAAATACCCTGCGAGTGTTTAACGCGGGTATTAAAGCGGCAGTAATACACTGCTTTGGGGCCGTCGCTCTTCCGTCGTTTGTAGAGGATGCTCAATACCTTCTGTTTTAGTTTGTAGGCGCAAGATTACCTCATTAATTCGTAATACTAGGGGATGACTCGAAGCGATTTACGTGGTAGGAATAATGTCTTATAGGTACGGTATTTACATGTTACTTGTTCTATGCTGCCAGACTTCATTGCTCATTTCTTCCTTTTGAGCACTGGGAAGGAAATGTCGGCAGTATACCCTGATGGTGCACAGTGTTAGCCGACTCTGTGCAGATATATGTTGCAAAATAAAGCGAGGGGAGCATGAACGGCACTTTTATACATGTAACATTGAGAAGACAGACTAATTAAGAAATGATGGTCGATAAGACAAACATGATGTTGGGACTTAAAAGGAGCTGTGCAACAATTTCGGTGCTTTGCTTAAATAATTTGGGAGTTGGTGTCTCTCGACCTTTCTGAAGTAAAGAACAAAAAAACGCTTTTGCCTGCATGTCCTTTTTTTTTATTTTAAGAATGGACAAAGATTGAGGTTTTCGACACCTCTCAACTCCTTCACCATCTTCAGAGTCACGTGCGCTGTGACGTCACTGGGGGTCGTGCGGTCGCAGCGAGAACTCATCCGCTCGTGACCGCGTGACCACGTGCTGGCGCAGCGCGAACAATATGGTGAAAGGAAGAAAGTCTCATCCGGGTCCGGCCATCCCTGTCCCCCTCCAGTTCGCAGTAGCAGATAGAGCTGACGGTTTTGTAAACGTAGGATAGATGGCGCCACTAAAACTCCGCATAATGAAAGTTTTGTCGATGATACCAGGTTTCTGACGCATTTATGGTTACGTTGGAGCGACAAGATTTATAGAAAAGTTACCTTTTATCCAGCAGGTAGTCGCACAACTTGCTATCTTTCTACAAGGTCCCCATTGATGTCATGCTGCATGGTTCTCATGGCTTCCGCTCGCGGCTGCAGGTTGGGGAATATCCTAATTTTTGCCTCGCGATTATGCGGTGGAATTGCAGCATTTTGAAGGAAGGAGGTGCGTTTTCTGTCCTTTGGGACAAGATAAACAATGTCAAAAGTAGAAGAGGCCAATTCCTTTAGCATCAAAATCGTTGCACAGCTCTTTTAAGAACATACATGTGATGACCGCAGTTTATTGCAGAAGTCCGTTTGTGCTCATGCACAAATGGACTTCTGCAATAAACTGTGGTCCTATGGTGAGAAGTCCATTTCATGCTCATGCATATGTCGTTTGCAAGTATGGCCTCAGGATTCCGCCATCTTCCTCGGTTCGGGTGCACTTGGGCGCGTCGGCGTCGCAATCGGATTGTGACGCACCCGAGCACACCCCAACTGAGCAAGATGGCGGCACCCTAAGGCCGTACCTGCAGTCGTGTATGCATCCTCTCAAGTTGTTTCGCATGCAATACATAGTGATTGCACAGCCATATAGTGGTATGATGCTTGTCGATGTCGAAAGTCGTCGCTCTACACTTTTGCATTGTACTCATTGTGCATTGTGGCTCTCAACACATTCTGCATCAAAAACAAAACATCCGAAAAGCTTTTCCAGCGTTCCTTTGGCGCTGAAACGAGCGTGGCACCCGCCCCGTGTTTGGGTGCAGGGCAGCAGGTGTTCTGGCACTCGTCCGCCCACATCATGGGGGAGGCCCTGGAGCGCATCTACGGGGGCTGCCTGTGCTACGGTCCCCCGATCGAGGGGGGCTTCTACTACGACATGCACCTGGACGGGGGCCAGGGCGTCTCGGCCGTGGACCACCCTTCCATCGAGCAGCTCATGCGCTCCATCGTCAAGGAGAAGCAGCCCTTCGAGAGGCTAGAGCTGCCCAAGGAGGAGCTCCTGCGCATGTTCCAGGTGAGGACGTCTGCTTCTAGGCGGAGCCCTTGCAGCGTCTGGATGGACGGACGAATGAACGGAAGTTAACCCCATACGACAGGTGGTAGGTTGTGTCGTCTATATTCGTTTTCACCTCAAGAAAAAAAAAAAGGAAGTTTTGCGCATTGTTCATATGCCGCGCGAAGTAGTTCTTGCAATAGTTGGGTGTCGGGGGCAGAAGCGATGCTTTTGGCGTTTAAAGCATGTACATCTTGCTAGGATAACATATATCTGACCTAAAATATGCTTACATATATCTTAATTCTCTACATAAAGAGGTAAGTTAATAATGGTCCACGATGGGCCGAGCTATTTTTACTACAGTTCTTGAGGTGAAAATGAGTATAGCCTAAAAACTAATATGAAAACATTCAGTTTTTTTTTTTTTTTTTTTCTTTCTTCAAGGTAGGAGCTGGGTTTGGAGAATAACTTTCTAAGAGCCAAAGCTAGGCTAATAAAATTTATGCCGTCTTTGTGCTTTGTTGAGAAAGTAAACTGTACAAGGTTTGAAGCCTCTTTTATCATTATAGTTTGCATTAGAAGATTTTTGCATGTTGCTAGCTTGTGCAAGCTCCTCAGATCTAATAGCACACTCCACCATGATAAAACTTGACCTAAAATGCCATGATGCATGCCTCTGAAGGGTGAAACTTTTGGCTTACTTTTTAGTTGCATTCCAATAAAATTCACACAAAACAGTTCTGTAATTCTTCACTTTTAATTATTATAAAAAAAAAAAAAAAAAAGTTATGTTATTTTCCCAAAAGCCACAGGTCATATATTGATAATCAGCGGCATAGACTTTCCATTTCCCCGGGGGGGGGGGGGGGGGGGGGGGGGGGGGAAGAAGGGGAAGGGGAAGGGGAGGGGAGGGAGGGAGGGAAGGAAGGGAAGGGAAGGGAAGGAAGAAGAAGGCGTTACCTTCTCGCCAGAACTGGAGATTGAAGCTAACGAAAGCAGGCTGAAATTCCATTTCCCATGTATTTTGTCAATAAAGGCAACGTGGGCATTACAGTCTAAGCTCATTATAACAGACCTGGTTACAACGGACATTTGGTTATAACATACTGATTTGTGAAGTTCGGTTGGTTTTCCTTTGCATACCATTGACTCAACTTCATATCTGCATACAACATACTCCTTTTACAACAGACCGAAATCTTGGTCAAAATCAAGGTCTGTTATAACGAGCTTAGACTATTTTGTTTACATGCCACTACTATGTTTCACACTTAGCATACAACGCTGTCAAAGTTACTGGTGCAAGCATGAGGCGTGATCTCATTGATCATTTGCACGCATGCTCGCACAAACGAAACCATAGAGAAAGCCACGTGCTTGCGCCAGTAGTTTTGGCAGCGTTGCATACTAAGTATGAAACGAAGTACAGTTGAACCTCGATCTAACGAAGTCACCAGGACCCGCTAATTATTTAGTTAAATCGGGAACTTCGTAAAATCGAGGAAGGGATAGCTTGCGCATAGGCTGTGCAAGGAATCCGTATTTGTTTGTTAAATCGGGTTTTGTTAAATCGAGGTTCAACTGTATAGAAGCTTGTTACATGGCGCGTAAACAGCGTCTCGGTAAGGATCATGACCCAAATCTGTGAAGAAAGCTATTTCACAGGGGCCTGTTTATTCCCGCTTCTTATTTCCTTTCAGGCTTTTAAATGGTGGATCTCGGGACAGTGACAGGTCAGACATTCAGTGGAAAATTCCCCTCAGACGGAGTTAGATGCGCGGAATATGTTGTCTGAATGAACAGCTGAAGTGCCCGCTTCAGCTATGACAGGCTAAAAAAAGTCTTGAAAGCGTCGCGACATCTCTGTCGGTTTTTAGACAACAAAAATGCTTCTGAGAATAGGAAGCATCCCCGACACAGTGAGTCAGTGACTGATTCTGCAGACCTGCTCGCCAAGAAAAAAATTTTAATTTCTTGCGCGTCTACAAATGAATGCCCTTTCGGCTAAGAAAATATTGTACACATTTTTGATTGGTCAGTGAAGGGCTTTACTACCAGTCTTGTCACCGAACAGCGACTCGAATACTCGTCCAGAAAACAACTTTTGGCGGAAAAATTTGTAACCCCAGCTTCGCACAAGGTATAGTGGTATCAAATGGTCTTTGCTACCGTCTGAGAATTATTTCTGGCCCTCTTAAAATTGAAGTCAGTCGTATAATTAAAGCTTCTTGTGCCACCATTACCCCACTCTCCCCTGCTGCATGTGTTAACAAAATAAACAAAACATGACAATAAAATACACACCAGAAGCCAAATAACAGCATCGCAAAACACAACAAAAACAAAGGGACACTGCTTTGAAACAAAAGCCTGTGGGAAAGAGAGCGATTGGGCCTTCGGAGTCTCTACGAAGGCCAACTTTGGGGAAAGAATAATCATCATGCCCGATACGTGTTCCTTTTGTCATTTTTAAAACGTTTGTATGGACAGTGCGGCGCTAGGCGGCACAATCCGCTCCCCTTTTCCGTTTTATTCTGAATAGGCTTCATGAATATTCCCAGGGAAGGCATTCATACATATACGCCGCAAACAGTCAGTAGAGTAGCAAGTGCTTGATCACTTCCTTTGAGGCAAGGTCACCGGAGCTTATTACCTGTGGAAACTATTTTATATTAACTCCCTGGGTTGAGGCTTATTTGACAAAGAGACGGAAGCAACTGAAGGATCGTGATTGGAGTCCCGGAATAACGAGCGGGGCCAAGCGAAGTTCAATTGAAACTTAAACCGTGAGCCGACACGAACACCGCAAATGGAAACCTAAACTCAGAACCCATTGACATTCTTGAAACGTAAGCCGTTCTCATAGGAAGTCAACTCGCCCAGTTCCGACTCGGCTAAGAACGTGACAGTTCATCCGGTATCCTGTGTAAAAATTAAGAAGAATGGCTCTCCGATGGGTCCCTGCATTGAAAAGCGAAGTCCAGCTCGTCAAAAAGGGATTACACGAGGCGGAGCACCGAAAGGAACGAGCATCCGGGACAGCAAGGTCGCCGCGTGGGGAGCGTGCCTCCAGGCGGAGAGTGCGCGTAGACAAGCCCTGCCAACGGCAACTTGTGTCTGCTAGGGATCAAAGGATTAACACTTTTGGTGCGCCTGCGTATCCACTCGGGGAGTTTGGTACTATATGGGCATCTCAAAATACACTTTACACACAAAATGGCCCGCAAAATTTAGATCCTTGGTGCAACAAGTAGGAATATTCCTGAAATACGTGTTTTACTGGTCACATTTATGCAACAAAATTTTAGACCCGAACTACCCCTGCAGAAAAAAAAAAAGATTCGCTTTTTTGTACTGGTAGTTTAGTCTTGCAATATGTTTGCATAAATGTGGCCAGTAAAACACGTATTCAGAGAAATTTCTACTGGATGCGTCAAACCGCTGAAGTTTCCGGGTCATTCTTTTGCGGAGCGTCTTATTTGGGGACACCAGGTGGTTAGCTGTCACAATGTCCGTGTCCGTTTGTTTATGTCCTTGTCCCTTTTTCTCCAGTCTCGGGTTTACCAAAATGCTCGGTAAAGGCTCCGACTGCTGCAGGTGACCCTTATGGGGAGAACCCACGGAACAAATAACACAAGGACCTTCTCCTCCTCTCCCCCCCCCCCCTTTTTTTTTTGAGCCACATTCCGGGTCTGCCCCCCCCCGGGAAAATGGAAACTCTACGCCGCTGAACCTTAGCAAAGAATATCTCTACAGTGAGAACTGAAAATCTCGGTGTGTATCGCACTGATCATAAAGTAGTCATGAATGTCGTTGTGAAGTAATAAGGGGTGTGGTTAAGTACATTTCACTTGTCTCTGGTTTCACTCTTTGTAGAGCCACGTGTGTGAATTTTCAAGTGACGTCGCAATGGGTAATTGTTGTGGGTGTCGTTTACAGCTTCGCCGTCCAACCACTTTAAAAGCGCGGATTGGAGCCACAGTTTTTTTTGTCATTTCGATCGAAAATTCTTCAAATGCGCTTGTTTTCGGTTGCGTTTTCAGGACACAATAATTAATTTGTTGCTAGGTTGGTTGATTATAACATAAAGGATGAAAAAAAAAAAAAAAATTTTATGTCTGCAAACTCAAAAGTTTTGTCAGTTTTCTCAGACGCGAGTTTGCTGTAATCGCCGAGGCTGGTCCATGTTTGCGCAGTACAACCCGTTCAAGGTGCGCATCCTCCAAGAGAAGGTGACCACCCCGACGACCACGGTGTATCGGTGCGGTCCCCTCATCGACCTGTGCCGGGGACCCCATGTGCGCCACACTGGCAAGGTCAAGGCCCTGCAGGTCACCAAGGTGGGTCGGAAACTCTGCAATGTCGGACTTCTGCGAAGCCGCCCTAGGGCAGCCCCGTGCGGAGCAATCTTTTTCGGCCCCTCAATGTTGCGACCGCTGCAGCTTGCCTACTCTAAAAAAGTGAACACGCAGGCAAGCTGGGGAATTGCTTCCATGTGTCAAACTCAGACGAGGCAAAAAAAGTGTACACTCGCTTCATCTTGCTGACAAAAAAAACAGAAAGCACAGAGAGCACTGTCTCTTTGATCATGATTGTCATGTTACGCTGCGACGTAAGGTCCTGCGACTATGTGCTTTCCTAACGTTCATGTGACATCACTGACACTGTGACATCACGTGACATTGTGATGTCATGTGACGTGAAGTTGCATCGCACAGTCGCATGACTAAGTATATGTGCTTTTCTGTTGGTCACGGGACGTCTTGTAGTCAAGTGACATAAGCTCCCGTATTGTACACTTCCCTGGTGGTGATGCGACACCATGGCACCGTGACATCTCAGACAAACTATATACCGTAAAATCCCATAAGGGCGCTCTTCCCCGAGAGATCGCCCATCCTGTTTTTCTGGTTGAATATCCGTAACATAGAAATAGAGAAGCATCTGCCGCTCCCTGATTTTTGTTGGATATCGCGTGATATCCGATGGGAATCGCATCAACCGCGCGATCTGCGGTACAGGTATGTGTGACAAGCAAGTTTGCCGCAGCTTCACACGTTTCTGTCTGTGATCTGTGCGCGCACCGCGCAGTGTCGTTTCCGCGACATGCTATTTCCCTATGTTTTGTCCGCTATCTGCGACCCCAATGTCAGTTCCCGTGGCGTGTAAGTTTGTAATGGTTTCCTTGTGTTTATCGCACGTGAAACGAATCTGCTGCATCCGCAGTCTGCAGTGTCCTTTCCCGTGACTCAGGGGTTCGTTGCGAATTCCCGCACGTTTATTGCATTTTGAAATGCGAGTTTGCTGTGGCAGCAATCTGCACTATCGGTTCCCATGTCACGTGGGTTGTAGGGGTTCCCCCGTGTTTATCGTTAATGTTTAACGAAGTTTTGCTGTCTCATTCCCAAAGATAGCCCACCTCATGTTTTTCACTATTTACCTCTTCATTTTGTGTGGGTACCCCTTTGGGATTAACGCCACGCTACGCATTGAGAGCGCCCTTGGTATACGCCAGAGTCGGGCAGTTTCTCGAAGGGTGTGTCTCAGCGGGGGACGTCCTCTGTCGCTCGCCGGTGCAGAACTCGTCGGCCTACTGGGAGGGCAAGGCGGATGCGGAGGCGCTGCAGCGGGTGTACGGCATCTCCTTCCCGGACGCCAAGCAGCTCAAGGAGTGGCAGAAGTTCCAGGAGGAGGCCGCCAAGAGGGACCACCGCAAGATCGGACGGGTGCGTGACCACACCCTCCAGACGAGCGAAACGCCGTTTCGGCTTACGACGGACCACAGCACGTCGCGAGCCGTCCTGGTCGATCTAGCGCTCCAAACTTGTTGACGGACCGCGTGTGGGGGGGGTGGGGTGGGGTGGGAGGTGGGAGGTGGGAGGTGGAGGGGGTTCAAGACAGGAGCAGAACCGATACCACCTAGAAGACGAGGCCTGCACGCGACGTCGTCGTTAGTGGACTTGCAGCCCGCGCCGAGCGAAAAACGCATAGAAACTCTATGAGAGACCTTGCGGCAGATGCGTCTGTCTTGGTGTCTCCGCGTCCTGGCGTCATGCTCGTTGCGAGACATTGCGAGATGCGCTGGCGGCGATGCCGACGCAACCTTGGCGCTGCGTCGTCGTTACCGCCTACCAAGAGGATACCGTGCATCCTCCCATTCCACACGAAGCACCCACCCCGAGAATTTGAAACATCCGAAAAAATATGCGCAGTGCATATATATGTAAAAGTGATGACCTCACATGTGCCCATCCCCTATTTTTTTTTCGCGATTATCTTCAAATTTTGAGCGAGCGCTTGCTCGGTATTTTATGGTAGGTTGCGCCGCCAACCTAGGCGATGCAACCTTGGCACAATGGGGCAAATTGTGAGCGCCTTCACATTGGTGGTGCCAAAAGGAAGGAAGAATGTGTTGGAAGAGTGGAGAAACTAAGCGGATGGTAGGTGAGGCGCATTCGTTTTGCCGCAACAAAATGAGGTTGTTGCTCGTAAAATTTTTCTGCTTTTATACCAGGCACAACGCCAGTGTTTTTGCACAAACTGTAGCTAGGAAAACACTACATATAGGCCTTGTTGCAATTGATGTTTTCCTGCTTTTTCGCTGATATCAAAGCGCCGCCGGCAATACGGTCACACCGGGTCCGCGTCTGTGCCCCATTGTTCCGAAGCTACCGGAATGCACGGGACCTCTCCCTCTAGAATATTGTCACGAATGACAGTTGATGAGGCGACGAAAACTGAAGCAAACTAAATATTTAATGGGTCAAACTTGTGCTCAAAATAAAATAGAAAAAGGCTAGCATCGATGGCGGCGAAGCAGCAGGATCAAATGCTGGAGCGAGACTGACTCTGGCTTGCCACGCGGAGCCCCTTATGTACACGCTTGGGCTTCTGGAGCAATCGAGGTTAGAACGTTCTACGCGTAGAACGTTCTAACCTCGAACAAGCAACAGTGTTCTCGAATTTTCCAGAATGCGACAATACAGAAACAACAAAAAGGTGTATCTGCAGTCAAGCATCCAACTGCGATTTTTTGTGTGGGAGTCAAGCACAGTAACTGTTAGGCAACAGGCGCGCTGCCTACTTGGCCAACTGTGCACGCTGCAATATTATATTAACTGTGTGTGCCCTGCACGTCGCTGTGCCTCGCCCAGCCAAAGGTCGCACGACGCTTGCCTGGCGTTGGATTGGCTCCTATGGCTTGTGGCGTCCTTTGCTGTACATTGAAGGGTGAAACGGAGTGTAGTAATGCCTCTGGCACTGAGAGTAAAATAATATTAAACAAATTAATCTAGTACTACCGTTCATTTCTTTTCCACCATCCCAAAACGAGTCTTGTTAGACTCGTTTGCTCATTTTCCCTTGTTCGAGATATGCATCCCAAAGTTTTATCTAACCTGTTTAAGAAAATAAGCTTTTGGTAAACTTAATTTTTTTTTTTTTTTTTTACAAAACATACAATGTTGTTTATACGTTGCACTCCGGTTAGGGCCTGTTCCTTTAGTATCTGGCCAGAATGTTGTCTTTAACTGAACTGCAGGAGCAAGAGCTGTTTTTCTTCCACGAGCTAAGCCCTGGGAGTTGTTTCTTCCAACCCAACGGTGCCTACATCTACAACACCCTGGTGGACATGATCAAGGTAAGGGCCGACGTCTAACCGCTTTGGGAACTCGTCGCTCGCATCCAGGGGTGTAAAAGTCGCTCTTAAAAAGTAATAGGGTTACAGATCACACTTACTAGCCGAGCTAAAATGTAATGAAGATAAAACGTACAGTTACATTCTTCCATTGCTACGTATCGTTGCTTGCAGTCGTTCACAAAAAGCAACCGAGTTGAGTTTCAATTATGGCAGTCGAGTTCTGCTGCGATTGTTCCCCTAGAGCTGGGTTTTCAATGCTCAAAAGATAATGCAAACTAATGCTAAATCTTTGTGGATTTCTGAACATCATTTCATGAAATAACTTAGCTTGACCGTGTTACACATTGTTCCAAAAGCATAACTTAGTTGTAGCTAAGGTTGCTGAAATTTAAATGCAAGTTGGGAAGTACTTACGGTCACCGACCAATTTTTCTAACTTCACAGGGACCGAAAAACTTTCCCAATAATAGTGCAGTCTGAAATATCGGCAGATTAAAACACTTGCCTGTATAATGTCCAAACAAGCTTAAAAAAAGCTGAGTGCCTTGCTTCAGGTTACGCCTGCGCGCCTTGTTTCAGTTACGCTTTTGCTTGAAATCGGCCACTTTCTATTAGCTTGAAAATCGCTGCCTTCTTTTCTAGCAATATGGTCAAGTACTTTCCGTGCTGCTTAGTGACACTTAGCGGCAGCAAAAGAACAGATGTGGCCATGACCTCCAGGCCAGCACAGTCTGTAAACATGAATCACCGAGACGAAATGAAAGACACAATTCCACAATTGCAGTGGCGACTGAACGAAGCAAAACGCTAACAATAATAATAATAATGACGTGCAGCTAAAAAAAAAAAAAAAAAGTTGTATAGCGTTATTTAGCGGTAGGACTTGGCAGTTGCCGAGTAGCACTGCCAAACCAAGCCAATCCATGTGCAGCCAACCTAGAATCCAAGATGGCGGCTTCTCGGTGGTATATCCTGCTGATCGCATGCGACGATTTTGTCAAAAAAATAGAACTTGTGGACTTCAAGCTGTCCGGAACATCGGTCGTGAATACGCATGATTTCTGTTAGGTAAGTCGCGGTTCCTCAAGTCAGAATTATTGGCGTCCGAAAATCTGTCGGCAACTGCAGTTGCTATTCTTGTAACTACCGTAAAATATTGCAGAAGCACCCACTTCGTTCAAGCGCCCACTGCTTACATTTTCCAAACTTCAGGATTCTGCAAATTATACGTTAAAGGGGTACCTAACCGATTTTTTGAGCTACCTCAACTAACTATATTTTCTGACTCCCCGGCCTTTAGCCTTTCCGGTATGCTATTTAGCATCGCGAAATTCATAATAGGTATTGTGAAATCGGCAAATGAAAATGGTGCAAAAACCAATATTCAAATATTCGCGCACTTTTCAGTGATGTGACGTCAGTGGAAGGCAGGCTTGCCAGTCGAGCAAGTAGTCTAAAAATAGAATATGCCCATCATTTGTTCTGTGCTGGAGCGCGGATACGGGAGCGAGCTTCCAAAGCACTCATTTGGCACCAAGAAACTGCTTCAAATCCGTTGGGAACAACTTCTGTAGTAGTTTTGTGGACCTAGGATAGATGGCGCCACTAAAACTCCGTATTATAAAAGTTTTGTCGATGATACCAGGTTTTTGACGCAGTTATAGTTACGTTGCAACGACAAGATTTGTGGAAAAATGAACTTTTATCAAGCAGGTATTTGCACAACTTCCTTTCTTTTTTACAAATACCCTATTTAGGTCATGCCGCGTGCTTCTCATGGCTGCCACTCGCGGGTGCAGGTCGAGAAATATTCTAATTTTTGCCTCACTATTACGCTGCGGAACCGCAAGATTTCGGAGGAAGGAGATGTGTTTCCTGTCCTTTGTGACAAGATAAACAATGTCAGAAGTAGAAGATGCAAATTCTTTCAATGTTAAAATCGTTGCACAGCTCCTTTAGTTTCCTGGCCAAACTTGGAAAGAGGCTCTCTTTGGCGAATTCTCGGAATATTCAAAATGTGCACCACTTGAGAAAGAAGGAAAGCCTCCAAATTGTTGGAGTTATTTGGGAACTGAGAAAGTAGGTGAATTATAAAAAATGTTTCCTGAAATGTTTTTCATTGTGCACCTTTTGGTTTACTTTGTCCCACATTTCACTTGACAAGTGTGCACAAAGCCTGTTATCTTCATTCGGGATAGCTCCGAACGCAGTCTTTCCGTGAAGTCTTCTCAAATGTGCCTGGAATCTTGAATAACAGTTGGGGCATTCAGAAATCAAGTTATGGTAGTGGACCAACTTTTTCCCTAGTAATTTCATTTTGTGAGGGTTGAGATTTGGACTGCATAACAGAGTGGAATGAACAGACCTGGCAGTATCTAAGTATTCTAAGAGGCCACGGTTCACATAACTAGAGCACAACTTGCACTACAGGTCATTAAAGGGCCCTTGTCAAGCTCAGTTCAAACGTTCGATGTAGACTACTGCTGTGCTTTTATGCAATCATTTCACAAGCAAGTTTCGCATTATGTAAAACAAATTTTTGTTTCATCTCTTGGAATGCAGTGTGCATCACACAGCAAAAGCTTTTTCTTGTTTTCCCTAGGCTGAGTACAACAAGCGAGGTTTCCAGGAAGTGGTGACTCCCAACATGTACAACAGCAAGCTTTGGCTCACCTCTGGTCACTGGCAGCATTACCAGGTACTGGCTGCCCCATCAGCTCTTGCTTAGCAGGGGCAGTTGGTTACTGGAATACAAAAAAGCTGGGGGATTTGAGTTTGTTGTGATGTTTGTGCCCAACCAGAGGCCCTAAACTCGTCAAAAATCAAAGTCGGAGCCGGAAGTTTGCGGAGCACGCCGATTGGACGTCGGCGAAAAAAGCGCGAAGTCATCGTCGTGATAGGCCAATCAGTGCGCTCTGTCAACTTTGGATCCAACTTTGTGTTTGACGAGTTTAGAGGCCCAGATGGCACTGGATGCTTTGTGCAAAAGAAATGTGCCTTGCGTTTTGAACAGGTGATGCAGCGGTGAATTTTTGATGACCATTCAAGTAGTGTATGGCCGATGTCCAAACTGATGCGTGTTTTCTTTTTGACACATTCTTGCTTGTTTTAGGGACATTTCTGTTTTCCCCTCAAAACTTGTGTAGTGCAACATGTTGGCATTGTGACTTCTGCAGCATGTTAGTGCAACATCTTGGAATAGCACATGTAAGCCTTGCAACTTACATGTGCTGCATGTTGCACAGGTGCAGCATGTTGGGAGTTATGTTAGTGGCGGTACACTCAAACCCGTTTATAGTGAACCCGAATACAGCGAATTATTGTCTATATCGAACACTGAAATATTAAGAACACAATTGCATGTAAAAAAGTATTTTTATAACAAGCAGCCCATTAGCTATTTTGAACTGAAAACATGTGAGCACCCATCTTGTATAAAAAGAAAATTGAAAATATGCGAGTGCCCCCGCCTCATTTAAAAAGGAATGCTTAAAGTTAAAGCCTCTCAAACAGCAAATAAAAAGAGCAACCTCTGAAAGTGTAGAAAGACACACAGACATGCACAAAAGAAAAAAGAAAATGAGCAAAAAAAAAGTAGGGGTGTGCGAATATTCGATTATACGAATTTGAATTAAATCGAAAGTTCCCGAATAATTTGTTTCACGAATCGAATTCCTAGTATTCGATCACTTGAATATTCTATATATTCGGGTAAAGACGCGCAGTCGGCGCGGAGCTGACAAAAGAGACGTTTTTTTCTCCTGATGCTAGTGCCTTGATGTTCGACAGACCATCCGAGAAGCATCTCTTGGTCCTACCATTGCACAAAAATGTAATGCACAGGTTAGAAAAAAGAAAAGTAACGAACGCCACAAACTTTATAGCACGCAAATTTACTCATGATCGTGGCACAAATCTAACCTTGAATCACAGCCGTTGTTGGGAGGCCGGGATTCCGCGCCATGCCTACTTCTTTTCACGAGCAAAGCCCCTCGTTTCAAATTGCGGTGCCGATGTAGAACACATTTGCCACACTCACAGAAATCGGCGACTGCAAGATCACAAAAAGAAAACCACGTTAACCACGCCGATGAAACCAGCCGAGTTGTTGTCGTCGTCGTCCTCTCGGAACCGCAAGTTGCAAATTCTGATTCGAAACGGAACGGAAAAATAGTGTGCCTAGATTCGAGAGAGTTTCCAACCAGGACTGGTGTGGCGCCTAGGTCAGTGCCCGATGCACGCGCCGCGTGCATGCACCCGCTCGAGATCATGGCTTGTGCTGTCCGGATGTTCTGGGCGGCAGCTTGGGTGCTTGATACATAACAACACAGCGCACAGCAGGCCAAACCAACGACGTGCATCTGGCACACCCCAGCGGAGGACTGAGGATTAATTTGGACCACCTGGGGATCTTTTGACATGCAACCGAAAGCTCGGTTACACGGCACCTGCTCCACAAAAAGAAGAGCGGAGAAGCTTAACTCATCGGATCCGGAAGTAGTCACATAATCCGTAAACTGTGTGTGTGTCATTGAAGCAGCAGTAAGCATGATAATCAAGCTAATCCTAGACAACCAGGAAAGCTAAGAATAACCAGCTGAACCTAAGCTTACGCTACGTATATCCTGGCATAGCCGAGCTAAGCCACTGTTTTTTTTTTTTTTTTTTACTTCAGAATATATTGTTTAAGCCTGTTTATTCAGATTTTATACTTATTTGTTTATTTATATAAAACCAAATCTCGGGTTCCTTCCTCCCCCCCCCTTAAAGTTGAGATCAAATATCGCAAAATGCCCCTCTTTTTTTTAGATATATAAATATAAAAAAGGACATGTTGAGGTGTTAGGTTGTGCTTTTAACGAGAAAAAAAAGGCACGCATGGCTGTAACTTTGTTTTTCTTTGCAATGCTTGGGGTAGATAGATTATGTTTGCACCGTAAAATTAAATCTTTAATGTTTTTTTGTTTTTTTTACCAGAATTTCTATACATTTTGAGCTCCTGTTTTGTACGAGATGCATATTCTGCACCAGGCGCATACTCTGCACATATAATCATATCATTCACAGCACACTTTGAAAAATCCTACAAATAAAATCACTATTCGATATTCGATTGGATGTTTGGCTTTTTTTTCTTAATTCGTTTTGGTATTCGATTCGATAACTACTATTCGCTATTCGCACACCCCTAAAAAAAAAAGTCAAGGTCAGGACACGCTGTTGTGTGCAGTCTCCAGTCGAAGTTTTTTCTCCTCGCCAAGTGCTCTCTTATTGGGAAATTTCAGAGACTGCATGGCTGCTTCCTTACCACCGCTTGCTATGTTTTGTTTGTTAGCACTCTCTTTCGTTTGACTGTGACTTTCGTGTGCTAATCGGGTTCGCACAGGAAATGGCCGCCGTCTTTGTCAATCTTTGACAAGCTGGAAATGTTTCCTTGGCGCAAAGTACAGATTGTAGCGATCGTCAAACTTCTGCCTGCAATCATGGGGCATTCGCGACTGGATAAGTGGCAAGGTTTGCGTGTAACCAGCAGTCTTCTGCAACCAGCAATCCCCGCTGCGGCCTGGCTGCTCTGGGCGGCTCTTTTTTGTTTCTTCTCTGTACGGTTCAGCTGGTTTTGTTTGGACTCCAACTTCACTGGAGAAAAATCACAATTCTTTCGAGGACACGATTGCCATAATGCAGATTGTAGATCTTAGCCCAGATGAAAAGGCGGTCAGTTAAAAGGGTAAAAGATTTTTTCTTTGGTACGCGCCTGGGTTTTTTGATTCTGTTAACGTCCTCGCAGAATAAACAGTTGGAAAGCTAGTTTTTGTTCCGGTGGGAAGCGCACTCAATGCGGTGACCTGCTGAGATTTTGCGAGGGTATGTGTTAGGCAACGATGTTTTGACAACCTGCACTCATCATATGTGCTTGTGGTCTTTGTCAAATTTGAAATAGAAGAATGATTATTTGCTTATAGCAAGCATCAATCCACTCGGTTAGGATAGCTGCAGGAATTTTGTCAGTCACGTGCCACAGTTCATAAATACTGTATGTTGCGGCCGGAAGTGGCAACCCTGGCCAGAGCCGCCAGCCTACTTCCGGAAAGACGAACAACGGTTGTCCGCGCGCGACGCCATCATGCCGACTAGGGTCGGACGTCTGTAACCTGTACCCTAATGTATTCACGTTTCTCATCTCCTATAAAGAACCCGAGTTACAAAGCGTTGTGTTTCCTGACGCGCTAACAATGGCGACGAGGCTCGATAAGGAGAGGACAACCGAACGCCGGTACGTGAACGTCAAGTGGTGTTAGTCGGTGCGTCGGTGGGACCCGGGAACAAAGGAGAAGCGGTGGCCGCCATGGCACAAGCTCAAGCCCTCTACGCCGCGCCGATCCAGTATGACCCAGCGGTGGAGAATTGGACGAACTACGTGGAGCGACTGGAGGCGTACTTCGACGCCAGCGGGGTGAAGGACGACGGTAGGAAACGTTCGATCCTAATATCCGCTCTCAGCCCGGAGGTCTACGCACGACTGCGAAGCTTGGTGGCGCCAAACAAACCGCGAGACGAAATCTTCGACACGATCGTGAAAGTGCTTACGCAGCACCTCAGTCCGGAACCGTCCGAGATCTACAAGACGTTCAGGTTCCAGTCACGAGTGCAAAATGAGGGAGAAAGCGTCGCGGACTACCTGGCCGAATTCCGGAGAATCGCAGACCACTGCGGTTTTGGGGACGCACTAGAGCGCAACCTAAGGGACCGATTCGTCATCGGACTGCGCGAGAAGACTGTGCAGAGGATCCTCCTGGCGAAACCAAAGAAACTTACGCTCAAAGAGGCGCTGGACACAGCGTTGGCCGCGGAGTTAGCAATGCGGAATGCCGACCGGCTTCCCGGCTCAAGTTCGCTACCCACTACTGCGGGGAACGTGAATGCCTTGCGGTTTAAGAAGCACAAGGGACGTCAGCAGAAAACGTCTGGGACGAAGACTGCGCAGCCCTGCATTCGTTGCGGAGACAGCTCTCATGACCCGCCGAACTGTCCGCACAAGAAAACGACGTGCTTCACGTGTAACAAGCAGGGACATTTGGCGAGCCGGTGCTTTCGCACTCAGTCGACACCGGCGATCAACCGAAAGAAGCAGCAGGCCAACCTGCTCACGGAAGAAGCACAGCTAGGACAGGCAGAGGAAACTTTCCACTTGTTCACAGTGCACTCTCCAAAAGCTACGGTTGAGCCAGTCAACGAAGTGCTCCAGTGGGGAACAGTAGAGGTGACCATGCAGGTTGACACTGGCTCCCCTGTGTGCGTGATTTCTAGGGACACCTACTCCAAGAATGCTAAGGTCTGGCCACCCCTACAGGAAACTACCAAGGAGCTCCACTGCTACCTGGGGAAACTACCAGTGCTGGGAGTCCTGGCGATGCCAGTAAGGCGTGGAGACAAAAAAGTGCAAGGACAACTGTACGTTGTGGATTGTACGGGTCCATCCTTGTGTGGTCGAGACGTCATCCAAGCGTTGAACCTCCTGGAAGAGCATCTAATCGGGAGCATGCAAACAAGTGACAACCAAGTACAGGACACGGTCAAGAAGCTGAAAGAAGACTTCAAGGATCTCTTCTAGCCGGGGACGGGGTTGATGAAGGGACCTGTGGCCTACATCAACTTAAAGAAAGAGGTAAACCCCAAGTTCTGCAAGGCCTGGTCTCT